GAGTAGAAAAATCAACAGAGCTGATACACTCCACATCATCGCAAACGAAAGCAAAAAAGAGAAATTGCTCTCTGCATTTAAAACTACCTCAGCAGTTCCCCGGAGCGTGAAACCGAAGAAAATCTCCCGTCATTAAAATCTACGGAAATTTAAAGCCCCTAAGTACACACTCCTTGGGTCGTAAATATGACCTCGGCAGTGGTAAAGGAAATTAAAACAAAAAATGCAGGTAATAAAAAATTAAAACCGAAGTAAATTCTAAGGACTAGAATTGAGTGGGGCAGAGGGAGTGGCAAGGGGTAAAAGGGTGAATGCAGAGAATAGAGAGTAATGGGGTGGTACGGGATATACCAGAGTCTGAGAGCCCCAGGGCCCAACTGCAGTGGGTGAGAGCAAAGTAAAGTGCCCAGGCTGAACACAGTCTTCTGTAAAAACGAAACTACTTCGTCGTCGCGTGGGGATTTCATGCACAACAGACACATTACAGATATATAATACATAACCAGGAGCGATTTTAAAGTTTCGTATTGAATGGAATACTCTTGTAGAGAGAGAATGTCGCAAAGTTCCACTCATGCGGATAGTTGCCTCGGGGGAATTTTTCCATTTTGCAAAATCCCACTGCAGTACGTACTTCTTTATATTTTCACGTTGCTTTCAACGTGCGAGCCTCATAACGTATCGATGCATCAGATGTAATCGTAGAGGAACGAATAAAATTTACACATAGAGGATTTTTCTCCCTCCCTTGGAGGTAATTCATACGGTTTTGTGCTGATTTTATACAGAGGAAAGAACTTTTGATTCTCAGGGATATGCCACTGATCTTCAGGGATCTGTCAAATTTATTAGTGATACTGGACACTGACTGGAACGAGCTTGATTATCGGTGATTTTTGTCAATGAAACTAGGGGACTACGCCCCCTGCTCGCTTCGCTCGCCAACCGCCATATGATCCCCATGATCCTTATTCTGACTCTTGTAACTCTTATTTAAACTCTCAAACTGACCCTTAATCTTGTGACCCTTAATCTGACCCATATAAGCATTAATTTAACTCTTGTGACCTCTATTTGGACCCTTATTCTACCCTTGTGACCCTTAATCTGACCCTCGTGACCCTTATTCCTACCCTTCTGACCCTCATGGCCCTTATTCTGACCCACAAGACCTGAACCGTATCCCTCAAAAAATATATATCATCTCCAAATGAATTCAGATGTAACTTCAACTCCAGCCGTCAAGGACGATAAGAACTTACGACAAGAAGCATAAAATTACCGTCAATTTCATTCCCGGAACTCTTTCGCCAGATGTGCGGTGAAATCCACTGGTAAAGCCCTGACCATCTCAACAGCGGAGAGACCGCCATGACGTGTAAGCCCCCCATACGTTCATTCATCTTGAGATAAAACGTAGAGTCCACTTGAGGCAAGAGCTATCATCCAAGAGAAGTAAGATAAAACGGAAAATATCCGCTCATCCATTGTGGAATGACACTGACAATGAGTTAAAGAATGACCTCTCAAATCCATGAATAATAAAAAAACTGTAAATAAAAGAAACGATTCTCGAAAAGAACTGGTGAAGGTCAGAGGTTGAAGGGGACTTATCACGAGCGAATAAAAATAGGAGAAGAGCTGTTACTTATTGACTGAACCTAGAGACTAAAAAAACGTAATAGCGGATGAAAGAAATTCTGGCAAAATGCTCCACTGGCACGAAACACTCGTATTATCATAAAGTTTTACTCAGGGGGAAGGACAAACCCACGTGAACTGAGCCAGAATGATTTTTGTATCGTTTAATTGCACGCAGACACTCTATACGTTGTTACGTGTTACCAGGGAGACATGAGATCGATAAAATTGGAGTTTTAATGATTCATTTAACGGCTGCTCTTCGGTGGTTTGGGGATAACCAAGTGCTTTGGTATTTGTAATTAAACATTGGGGGTTCGACGAGGCCCCACTCGACCCTACGTTTTTGGATAAATTTCGCATTCCAACGGTTTTCCGTTGCAAAGGGAAACTTGCCAACGCGCCCATCACCCGAATGACTTCCGCCAAATAATTTTCTGTTATCGGACAGTTAAAAAATTAAGTTTCAGGCAAGAATTGATAGCGAGATTTTATGTGATAATTCCGAGCATTTTTTAGTCTGAAACAAATATGATTGGTAGAATTTAACTTTTCAACAAAATCATTCGTTAGTGAGCTTGGAGCAATGACACAAGCCATTAATATTACCACAGCTATACCGCGGCGTAGTAGATGACCGTTCTCATTGTCATCCATCGAAAGCAACGCTGACTCAACCGACACATCAGTTCATTACCCGAATTGCCAATGTGAATATTCAAACTGAAACCAAATGCCTATCGACACAAACAAGAACGTCGGCGAAATCCTCAAATGGGGTAGCATTGCGTGCTGAAAATAAAGATACAGTCATGCAATACCGAAAATGAATGTATAACGATCAATACCCGTGTCGTTTCTATTCAGAATGAAGTAAAAAAGAAAAATTGAAGTTTTAGATTTACCAGTGAGCGACTCGGTCACGCGATTAGTTAGCAGCCAGGGTAGCCTACCTTTTTTTCCATTATTTTTCACACTCCGTCCTGCAGCAGCGGCGCACACGCTCGATTAAGCTGTGGTGTCGCCTCGTTATATCATGTAACCATCGTCGCCACTGCAGAAACCACGGAAATCTGTAAAAAGAAAGAAACGCCAAAGCCTTTTTTATGATCGAAGAGTCTCATAAAACTCGGTTAACAACACCGAAAGATTTTCATCCTTTTTACTCTTTTTCAATTATCGAAGGAAAAATAATTTGTGACATTGTAAAAATCTCAATTGCATGTCACACGAAGGCTTTACCTAATAGACTCAGGAAATTACATTTTGAAAAATTGCGCAACCTGCGTGGAAAAAAACAGCATTAACTCGGAAGTATTGTTATTAGAATCGCAGATACACTATTAAAAAAAATTGAAATTACAATAAAGAAATGCGGCGGGTTGTGAGTACCTGTAGAGGGTTTATAAGTTCTATAGGCGATTGACAACGTCCGCATTATGGCATCATAACGCAAACGTTTCATGAAAGAATCTCACGCAACCCCCCGATTACTTGTCCCTTCAATGACCCCTCACCACCCGCAGTTCACAAATGAGGCAATTGTTCCCAAATGGAACATAAATTTTGGAATGGAACATATTGCGAGTATGAAACCAATTTACGTAATTCCCCCCAAATCGAAATGAAAAAGAATCTGAAGTCACAGCAGTAAATACACTACTTTGACAATAGTTCGCGTGACCTCCTCAGGGTTACCTCGTCACTCCCCCTCAACCCCATTAGTCCAAGTCGCCAATTTTTTTCCTATTTGCTCGTTCATTTGTACACAGAGAGAAATTTTTGATAATAATTATCCTACCGTTCTATAAAAGTGTATCATGAGTCATCGTTTCCTCATTTCTATGCCGAAATTTAATAAAAATTAATATATGATGATCAAATTTTATTGAACGTTAGAGAACTTTTATCCTGACGCATAATAAATTTTACCCTACCGGTACAGTAATTTTTACTCTACCGGCACCGTAATTTTTATTTTTATTAGGATAAAATTTCCCTAACGTAGAATAAAATTTGACCATCATGTATTAATTTTTACTAAATTTCGGGATATAAATGAGGAAACGATGACTCATGATACACTTTTATAGAAGGGTAGGATAATTTTAATCAAAAATTTCTCTCCATGTAGTTTCCGTGTAATTCATTCTGTCGCATGTATCCAACAGGGAGTAACCAAATACGCTGAACTCAATATCAATCGAATTTCACTGCGATATTTATGGGCACATTGTAATGGAATGCTTGGAGTGACACAGATTCACTGTTGCGTCAGTATCTGCAGGGTACATATAGGTACATGTGTCGCATTGACCTCGTGAGATTTTTCCCGAAACAATTAAAACGTTAATTGTGGCATCAGAACACCAAAGAAGAAATGAGCAGGGGTTCCAGCCTAACCGACAGAAGACTTGTGACCGTTACTTTTTGCGTTATTAGTCTCTTTCTTTTTTTTATTTCTACCAATTCCATTGGTAGCAAGCTACCGAATGGACCTCTAGCAATTCCGTCTTTGTGACAGGCATACAACCGCAACCACATGCTGCAGGGTGTCAGGAAAATATTCAATCTTTTAATGAAAAAGATTTAAACAACAGGTTAAATATCTCCGAAACTGCTTGGCCGGAACTCACAATTCGCTCACCGATTACCGAATCGACTCAGAAAATTTAAGTGAGGGTATCGTAATTTTTCACAGGAGATTCGGATAAAAATTACGGAACCCTCTGGAAAAATTCCGTGACAGTTGCGTAAAAATTCCTACAACCATATTTCGCTCCGGAATTGCGGAAAAGATGGGTAATTCTTATTGAGTATTTCTCTCCGTGTTGGTATCCCCGTTTTTTCTCAAGTTATCGTGCACACAAGAATAAAAAAATTTAAAAAACGAAAAGATAGGGGGATATCTCGGATTGATCCAGATAGTGGATCAATCAAACTTAGAAAATCTAATAACCGGTAAAATACAAGGCTTCCACTCGGAAGCAATAAAAAAACCAAATGACGAAGTGGAAACAGGTGGAATCGATGGGGGACGAGGAAACCTAATGTTCTCAATGTTCAAATGGCCCAAGATACAGGAGGCACGGGGGGATGGGGATACAGGGGACTCCTTGAAGAGAAGAAATTGAGTTACATTTGAGAGCCCTGGTGATACCCATCCCCTTGGCTCTCGTGAGTTAAATTAAACCACGTGACTAACTTCTCACGTGACACGAAATCAAGAGCGCACATTGGCCAGTGGTATACTGGGTATAAAAGCCGGTCTCGACAGATGTGGCAAATGGAGGGGCGGATTTTAGTGCCCATGCATCTGACAAACTCAACCGACGAATAGTCCAGTAGATGCACGACATTCGGCTCGGTATCGCGCGGTTTTTGTTCCGCATGACCACTGACTAATGCACTAATAATGAATACAGAATATTTCGGAAAATGTGAAAATTTCATGAGGTGATGAACAATTTCATTTCTTCGAGAAGAGAAAAAGTGAATGAACAGCGAAATTAAAGTGCAACTTTGAAAGAAAAATTTAAATGTTTTTGACAATTTTATTTTTCAACGGCAGACTTTTTAACGCATATTGCGCTTTTTTCTTTCATTTTAATTGTACCAACTGGTGCAGTGATTACGGGAGCTGAATACATTCCCTGTATTTGATATTGCAACGCGGGTGATTCAAAGTGGCCAGCGGCTGTTATTTATTTCACGTACACCAGTGACTGAGTGTTTGAAGGATTTCGCTTGGATTTTTATACAGAGCAACGGTGTACGTGTTTCGACTCTCAGATTGGGGTTTACGGACAGAGTGAGTGGTGAATGAAAATACTGAATACGTTGTACAAGTGAATTATTGTTTGTAAATTAATCAGAGATGATCCGCAGAGCGGGGAAACGAGTTCTTTGTAATGGTTTTTTGAGTTTGAATTTGTAGAGAATACACTGGTAGAGAAAAATGACGTTTCAGGGAAGATTTAGTAGGGGAGGGTGGGGCAAAGTGGAACGTTTGTAATCGGCTTTAATTTATTATATCTTTGTTTATAAACAGAGATATTGGAATCTTGAGTCGACAACATACATTCCATTTTATCCCGCCTTGCTCTCATAATTGTCAGGAGAACGTCATTGAATTCAGGTGGAATTAGGTGGAGGGGTGGAGGGGGTGATTATAAGATTTTGAATTTGACTGATTTCCCCGTCAAAATTTAAAAGAATTGAACTGCACCATTCTCGATGTCATGAGGTACACTGCTAGAAAAAAATGATGAATTTCATGGACAGTCGAATTGTAATTTTCGAGAGAGTGACATTGAATACGATTTAGGGGAAAACAAGTGGGAAATGGGTTTCTTCTCAACATGGTCAAAATATTTTTGCTAATAAATTAGTAATTCGCTTCGGAATGGAATTTCTATATACGATGATGTATTTTAAATTGATTTCAATGATTCATTGAATGTCACGTTGCTGCAACGTTGGCAGCCGACATTGTCTCAACATTGCCCCAACGTTGGGATCGAACATTACCGTAACGTTAGCAGCCAACATTGCCTCAACGTTAAAATTGTTTACCTTTCCGTAAAAATTGGTTTAAAATGAATTTTTTCATCAACAGATGATATACTCTGGCTCATGATCGAATTCGGTCAAGATGGCATATAGGGAAGAATACTTTAAATCACAATTTAATTCATTTAAACAATTATTTTTTCAGTGGTCGAAAAACGATTGGTCACATACATTCATTCGGACATGGTTATAACTAGCATGTTCGAACGCTTGAAATCTAAATTAGTTATTCTGATATCAAAAATGGAAATTTCGAATTTGACGTAAACAATGCTTCCACTCGGAAGCAAAAATGATGAAATTTCAGATTTTATTGAAAATTCTATGAAATTTGAATTTTTTAAGCACCATTAAGGATATTCGAGTACTTTGGCTATTTTTTCCCCAGTGAAATGCTACGTTTGTAGTCGAACATCAGAGCTTTCATTTAGGCCCCATTTAACCCTAAGTTTCCGGATATTTTATTGTGATTTACAAAGTTCACTTTTGGAGGACGATTGATAAAATAATTAAAAAATTGCAATTTTTTAAAATTACGAGCATTTTCGATAGATAATTTATAAACGATCAATTTTCTCCGTGATTGAGATTAACTGGTTAATGCAATTGAATTTAATTAATGAATAAATTTTCATGATTACATTGAAAATTCATTTAATACAGTATGTAATTAGTGTGGGGTAACTTTGATTAATTTTCTCTGTCACTTGATTGATCGAAGACAATCGAATTACCCGATTGAAATTGATCGACCATTCTATTGCATTCCAATGAATACGCGCGTGGAATTCGTTATTGAATATTGATTCATGGCAAATGTCTCATTAAAATTGATGATTATCGTTTCCAATTCCCCAGGTTGTATCATCACAGCAGTCCCTCGAATTACGAACATAGAGAAATTCTACTGTAATTAACAATGCATTTTTGGTTCCAAACGAATCACAATTCTGATGGGAAAATAATTGGTGCTCAGAATGATATAATATAATGAAATAATGGAGTTTCATCGAATTGGATATAATTCATTGCTATGCACGTTCCGATTAATTAACAGAATTCTGCACACACGCACACTCACTGAGAGAAAAAAGTAATTCTTCCGAAAAATTATATGTTCCCTTGAAGAGATCTTTTGTCGTGTTGAATCACTACTTGTGACCAAAAAAGAACGGATCCACCAAAACATGATCATTTTTGTAGTAGTAATTGTTCTCGTGAGACCTATTAATAAAAATCTCAATGTGTGCACTTCACGGAACTCGAATAAATTATGGCAGTATCTATTCACACGCTCCACGGTAACTTTGACCGTGGATATACGGGACGTTTTCCCGTGGATTAAATGTAGTTTCTACCGTGGATATATGGGAGATCGTGGACCCTCAACTTTTACTTCTCAAATTAAATCTAGACAATAAACTAGACACATCGAATCAATTGATAAGTGATATGGAGATAGTAGACTAGTAAACAACTTTCTCGAATATGAATATCAGTATAGATTAACGCAAATAAAAAATGACATAAATAATTGACTAAACGCAAATAAAAGATGAAATGAATAGTTTTAGTTTTGAGGCTTTTTTTTTTTAAACTACAACAAATCGCCTAAAAACTCTATGTGATTCGGAATCGTAATTTTTTTCCTCATTTAATTGTCGTTCAAGTTTTTATAAATGAAAATATTGAAAATTCATTATTTAACACAGGGTCTTATGTGAAGAACGCTAAATTTGACACAGCTCCGGTTAAAACAAAGATTAAAATCTAATTTTTTTTCCTAAAAACGAGAAAAAAATAATAAAAAATATTGGCACCTGTTATTTATTATTAAAAATTTCCAACCAGAATCACGGGAGACTGTGAACAGGAGTAGACGTGGCAACGACGGCTCGGTCAGCTGTCACTTGGCGGGACCTCTCTCACTTCTCTCACCCGTCACATTATCCTGCAGTGTTGCCACTAATTGTTCCAGGCTAGTCAATTGAAAATCTATTTCTTCACACTTTTATTGAAAACAATTAATGACTAAATAATTCTTATGCTTATGTCCTTTATAAATTATTTTAATAATTTAGACATCAAAAAAATTATTTTTAGAATCTTTTTTTTTCAAAAGCACTCAACGAGTCCAGCCGTAGGGGTAGAGCTACTTTAAAGCATGAGAATTAAGCAATTGAAGTAAATTTACTTGTCTCAAGAAAATATGTTTCAGATCTTAGAAAAAAATTTTCTCATTGTAGTTTGAGAATCATGCTATTCATTCAAACGATGTTTCCATCATGCCCCACTGTTGAAAAACATTGGCATGCAATTTCCGGTATCTTTGAAATATAATTTTAGAGAAAGATCTAAAATTTCCTTTCATCAAATTGACTAATTCCCCTCAAGTACATCCGCTCCACTCCATCAAGTATTCTCACGTGTAACATATAACTTTTCGGCAGAACTAATTTATTCTCTCCGTGGACCCTGTGGTTTAACTTAACTGTGCCAATTTCGAATAATTGCCGATCGAAAACACTTCATTTTGGCGATTAATTCACGCTGCGCAATTACCGCCCGAGCAATCGTGTAAATGAATTCGATAATTGTCTTTGACGTAACCCAATCGTCCCCATTGATTCAGTAAAATGTCACTCACACTCGAAAGCGATTCAACCCTGAAAAATCAGTGGAGCAGATGCATATTGGAATATGAATATCATGCTGAATGTGGTAGTGAGGATTCCAATGCATTCATTTTCTAACACTCGTATTCACGTACATAATGCGTACATTGGGGTAGGAGTTTTGGGGGGAAGCATGTCAGTGGACATACATTTTGCTTCAAAGCGTACAACCCAACGGCTATTACCATTGTGCGGTGATTGTGGCTAGTGTGGCTGTAGCCACTCGTCTATAGAATGTCACCCTCCACCGTTAGTGTTAGAGATAGCCAGAGTCAGGTGGAGATAGAGCGACGAGTATAAACTGAGAAAACAGAGAGGAGAACATAAATGTTGCGACTGGTGTCGCATACATTCAACAACCACGGGACATTCTGTTTTGTGCAGAAACGACAAACGCTTTGGGAAAGGAAATAAACGTGAACAGTCGAATCCAATTACGCTTTTCAAACCGGTTAACTGTCATTTCCACCCAATATGACAATACTGCTATCGTTTCAGTGCATCGTCTTCTGCCCAGGTAGGAATTATATAGGCTGACGATGGAAACAATCCTGTGCGAGGCTAAGTTTGGCGAGGGTCAGGGACTCAGGCCTGGGACGGGCTTGATTTCATCGTTCACTCGAGCCTGAAATGACGGCGATTCAAGGGGCCATTGCCGAGGTTCAATTCAGGCCTAGTCCAGGCTTTGAGTTTGAGGCTCAGTACGCCAAGGCTTATTGGAGCCTCTGCAATGCCTCAAAAATGAAAGTTAGTTTCGATTACATTCCTTAATCTTTATATCGATTAACGTTTCTGATGCTAATGAAACACTCGGAGGCGCCAGAAATGTCGAAATAAATTTTTTTTTTCACCTGGGGCCAAAGTGTCATCTTGGATTTTTCAGGGGAAATTGGGACTTTCGCCAAAATAGAAGATTTCCGCCGAGTGAACGTTGATTCTGTATTTTCTGGCCCGCCTAATGTCACTACGCCCCTCACTGACCCCAGAAATGTAGAAATAATTTTTTTTTTTTACCCGAAGCCAAAGTGCCATGTTTGGGCTTTTTTCAAAGGATGAACAATTGTTCTTAAATTGAGAATAAGATGAGAAATTTTATTGTGCGATGAAAAAAAAATTGTTCGAAATGTAAAATGTCAAATAGCTGTGCAATCACATGTTTCACAAAGTCGTTCAGATTCAACGAAAAAATTTCCGTGCGTGATTTGCGGAAGCCCTTTCCTCCGTGTGAATTTGTAAAAAAATGAATTTAAAGTATTCAGAGAATTCTCCATCTTTATTCATGAGTATTCCCCTGACTATTCCCAATTCCTGGTGTTTGAACGAGTGAGAGCACGGCGAAATGAAAAGAATAAATCTGGATTTAATAGACCCGGTTCGTTGAACGTGACATGTGAAAATTAATGCTATCGTGATTCAAGTGTATGAGTTATACGTGCTGAAAAGTTGCCATACACTGCTCGATAAAACGTTCACGCTCTATCCTGGGTCATATCATTAAACTCGGCAATGTTACGATTGAGCGAGAAGTAGGAATTCAATTATTTATTTCTTTGAAAAAATCCCATCTCGTTCGTGACATCAGAACGTGTCGTTGAATTCAAGAAAATTACGTGCATGAATTATTTTCTGTTTTGAATATCGGGTAATCTCTGCGTCAATTACAGTCCGCGAAGGAAATGTAGAAATACTTTCCTGGCGGCTGAGATTCATTCACGAAAAATTATTAAGGATATTTAATTTATCAAGTGGACAACTCAGTTGAAAAGAACACCAAAATTGACTAAATAAATCATTCATGTTTCAAAATATTTTTTTCATCAAATTAGAAATGTTATGGCGTACTTTTCCAGTCTCAAAAATTATATAAATATATATATTATATTATATATATATATAATATAATAAATAATAATATAATATATTAAATTATATAAATTAATGAATTAATTGATGTATTATTATTTAGATTTTTATGAAATTCAAGGAATCTCCAATTTCATGAAGCGAATATTTAAAACGATGTATTGCAATACATTGTCAAACAAAAAATTGCAATTGCATATAGGGACCCGAAGGCGCTCAGCGAAGGGGGCCTGTTCCGTGACTGGGACACTCACGGTATTTGGGTGATTAAACTTCATGCTTATCATAGTTAACCACTTATCGCTCCCATATCAGAAGGTCCTATAAATGATGATGATTATCGATAGAGTTTTTCTCACGTATTCCAGTTAAAAACATTAATAATGGGAAACCTCCAAATCTATATAGTACACTGAGAGAAAAAAATTATGTGATTAGACCCGATAAACCGCGCTTCGCTCGCCTATATCATACGGTCCACAAAGTATTTCCTGATACTAACGCCACCCCGGCCTCAAGCGCCCGCAGTGTTGATGCCGTTTCAGTACCCTTTTTTCCTGTCAGATTCAATATTCCTTTTTTCAATCAATTGTTTATAATCATTGTCATTAAAAAAGGCAATACTTGATTTTACTGAATTTATGCCTTTAGAAGGTAATGGAAATTATACACGGAGAGAACTGTTCAGTAAAAATTACGGAACTCACAGTTCGCTCACGGATTACGGAATCGACTCAGAAAATTTCAGAGACGGTATTGTAATTTTTCACAGGAGATTCGGGTAAAAATTACGGAGCGCTCTGGAAAAATTGCGTGGTTTTAAGGATATCCAAGTACTTCGTTCAAATTGGCAACTTTTTTTCAAGCAAGATTTCAGTTTTGTCGAAAATCAATTTTTTTTTAATACGTGCGATTTTGGATAAACATCCTTAATTTGCAACTACTGATAGAACGGATTAATTATTGTTAACGAATGGATTTTGGTTGGAGGTTAGGGTCTATTCGGTCCCACCAAATGTTCATTCGTTAATAGTTAACGAATGTACATTTGAGGAGCCTTGTTTGACTTGACTTTCGCCATTCAAGTGAACCATTCGTTAACTATTAACGAATATTCATTTGGTCATATTCAACTCTACCATTCGTTAATAGTTAACGAATCTCGTTTGGAATAAATGAATCATTCTATCAGTGTAGCGATTTTTTAGCCCAAGCAGACATGGTTGAGAACATGTTCATTTTTCTCCCAGTAAAAGTTACTCGGATGTCTTTAATGAAAAATTATTTCGTAACTGATATCCGCGGACGCAGAGTAGCACACATACACACATGCCTAAACTCTTTGTCCTTTAACTTCATTACATGCAGAGCCATTGAGCTCGGGATAAAAATTTGAGAATTCACTTTCATGACTGAAAAAGTGGGATGAAACTTTTAACCACTTCTATGACTGACAAAAACTGGATGAGAGGTGGGAGGGGGGGGGGGAGAGGAGAATTAAATTTACAATTTCCCGAGAACAGTGGAGTGTTTAACTTTGCCCCCTCCGGTGTTCATGCAACTCGACATTGTTTCTAATTATGTTGACAGAACAGTGGAGAGGGAAAAAGAGTGCAGCACGATGGAGAATATTTTTTAAAGTCTCGTTAGAGTTGAATGAATTTACTCAGTCTACAAATAGTCGTTATCAGGCTCATTAGGGTCGTCGAGTGGTCTTATCAAATATCAGTCCCTCCGCTCATTCGATAATCGGCCATGAGCATTCGTATACCAGAGGATGTGCGTGTCCGGTGGTTGATGTGGTTTTTATGTGAGAGTTTTCTGGTCGTGTTCGGGCACTATGAAAATGTTGGCTTCGATATTTCAATTAAAATGTAATTAATTGGTTGTAGAGACTTTTGGTCATTGAGCCCATAATATCAATATTTTTAAAGTATCGTGTTATAGAAAGAAATTGGCTTTTCACGGATAGTTTAGTAGTAATTACACTGTTAACAATTTTTGACTTAAATTTTCGACACACTTTTTGAAAATTTCTATCACATTTTAGTTCCACTGAAATTTCAAGGAATTTCGTCATTGAAAATTCAGAAATTTATGGAAATATCAATGAGAATTCTCAATTTCAAGTCTATTATTCCCTGACGATTGGTAGAAATCAAGAAAAGCCGGAAATACATTCAGTCAGGCAATGAGGGTCTAAATATGTCATATATTATGCTTGATCACCGTTTTTAGCTCTTATATGACCCTCATTGCCTGACACCCACTGTTTTTACTTTTATTTCTGGCCCTAATTTTTTGACCCTAATATTCTGACCCTCTTTTTTCAACCCTAACATTCTGACCTCAGTTTTTGACTCTAATATTCCGGCCCTCGTTTATTAACGTCCACTTTTTGATCCTTATATTCTCACACTTAGTGTCTGACCCTTATATTAGACTTGAGAGCGCTTGGTACAACCCGGGCTGATACGAAATTTAATTTGACTCGTACACAACTAATCTCGGTTTGTTTTCATTTAAAAAATTGCACCATTCCTGTAAAATAGTCAAAAAATGATTCTCAAAATATTTAAAATGTATTCTCGATTCTTTCAGAAACACTTTTCTGGCTATTTTACATGAATGGTGCAATTTTTTATTAAAAAAAAACGAAATTAGCTGTGTAGGAGTAGAAAAAACCTCTGTAACTCAAAAATTGGAGGTCCTGAACTATTTTAAACATTTGAAGCGCCTACCGGGCAATCGAACAATAAACAATTAATTTTTTGCACTAATTATTCGTTTTTAGACAAATATAATCGATCTTCAATGCATTAAAAATCTCATTCCAATAGCCCGCGACTTTTAAAATTCGTAGTTGTCTCCTCTCAATCTTCAAAATTCAAGTTATGTTTATCCTACTTTAAATTCCACCATCTTATTGTGTTTTCAGGGTGACGAACACGCGGACGTACGACGAAGACGAGAGATCGAGCGGAAGAACAGCCATCGCATGTAGCAGTCGGGTACGAAAAGAAAAAAAATCTATACAACCGTAGGCAATTAAATAATGTAAAGTTCAATTACGGTCGCTGTCTGGATTAAATAATCCACGTTATCGATTTGCCCTCCATGATAATGAACGACACGCTCAAACCAAATTAAATATCTTAGTAATTCAATATTAGTAAACCATTGGGTCAACACTTTATTTTTGGGATGACCTGAGTGTCTGGGTATTCTCGAAAGAAGTGAACTCGTCGAGTTGGAACTAAAGCACAGAAGCAAATACCGATAGTAATCGTCCGAATTGGAATTCGATAAACCATTTTCCACACTTTTATTACTCTAACGCCTTTTTTCATTGTCGAAGAAGCATAAATTGCAGTCATCTATTAATACACAACCGGCCGTTTGCTACACTGTTCACACCAGTGTCCGAGTCCCACACCTATTAGCATTAATGTGAAAATAATGCTGTGTGTGTCATTTCATAAAGGACAAGGTTGTTCACACGGAGAGAAATATTCAATAAAAATTACCAGAAAAAAGACGTAAAAATTACGTTTCGAAACGTAATCTGGGAGCGAAGTAAAATTCAATAAAAAGTGTCAATCGTCAAGTAAATTCTACGATCTGTTCCGTAAAAATTACTCATCCGTCCGACACCTAGCCATGAGTCACCGTGAGGGGCAGATTTTAACAACACGTTCCGTAATTCTTCCGGAACTTTTCGTAAAAATTCTTAAACATTCAACAATTTTCATGTTCTGAGGCATAATACGTCTTGAAGTTTCTGTTAAATTTTACAACTTCCAGAAAAATTACGTGACTTTTTCGTATTTTTTCGGTTGACAGACCCGAAAATTTACTGAACGTTTCAGATTTATTCTCTTATATTCCTATAGAAATTCACTGAAAACGATTCTCGCTTGCGGATTACGCGAAATGTTCCGTAATTTTTCTTGAATATTTCTCTCCGTGCATGTACATTGCCTCGTGTGATGTCGTAATTATTTATGAAAGAGGGGATCGTAGTTGGAACTGTTCACTGTGAGGAAAATTTTTCAACGTTGTCTCAACGGTGGCAGCCAACATTGCCCCAACGTTAAAATTTTTTACCTTTCCCTGAATATTGGTTTCAAAATAAATTTTTTCAACAACCGATGATGCAATCAATCTCATGATTGAACTCGGTCAAGATGTCATTGGGAAGAATATTTTAAATCACAATTGGATTCGTTTAAACAATTTTTTCAAGTCAATCAAAATTAGTTATTCTGACTTTAAAAAATTTGAAATTTCGGATTTGATGTGTGCAATCCTTCCATTCGGAAGTAAAATGCGTCACACGATCCACAAAGTATTTTCGTATGGAGTACCATAATACCTTCAAAATTATCAGGTATTTTCCTATAAGTTCATTGCGAACAAACGAATGAGTCAAGTTTTTCAGGTTAAAAAATCGCGAGTGCGAAGCACGAGTGGACGATTGGTAGGGTTCCTAGATTGGGGATAAATTTTCTGAAAATCAGTGATATATTCCTAAAAATCACAACTTTTTTGTTCTCTATGAATAGTTAAATTTTGATTCTCAATTAGTATTTTTTAATATTAAGGCGTGAACTACTTGATATTAAGGTATGAAATCACAAGGAAATTTGTTTATTATCCTGATTCAAGAACACATTTTCAAACTTTTCTATGAACAATGTTTCATAATTAGCTTATTTATTGTCGTCTCTGTAGTGCACTCGTTGAAAAATCTTTCCGAAAAACACTCATTTACCTAGCGGGGATAATCTGTGCATTAGAATAATATTGACTCACTAAATATTGACCCGAATATACAATCGCTTGGGGTCAGTTTTATTGACATAAAATGTATTATCAACCTTCCCCTCAAGCACCAAAAGCAAATGATACCTGCTGCGAAGTTCACTGAATAATTCAATGAATAAGCAAGATATATATATAATCTCGTATACATAACATAACAGAAGAACGTATCTCCAAACAAAATCTAAATTAGGGAACTGAAGCGATCTTTATTTTTAAGGGTCCAACAGGGCAGTGATCGGAAGAATCCCGTGTACTCTCGAGGGTTAAATGGAAGAGGCAGGTACAGCACAGAGAAACAAAAGTGGATTAGCTTTAGAAACTAGTTTCTTGATTTTCGAAACTCCATTTCTTGAGCTTTATCCTTGATGGGATCAAAAAAACCAACGATTTTGGAAATTGTTTTTAAGAACAAAATTTTTCTAAAACCAATACTGAAAGTTTTCTTAATTTTAGAAAATTTTTTAGAGTTAGTAAGAGTTAGAATTTCTGGAGTTAGTAAACTTTTGACTAGAATGAAATCAAATCAGTAGCGAAGTGGTAAAACTGTTTAAGTTGACTTATCCCCCAGTTGAGTTTTTGAGGAATATTTCCGAATCTAAGGGTGATAGCGAAATATTTGTAATTACATTTGTTGTAGGACTCAATCGGCTCAACAAAAAAGGTTATAAAAAAAATTTTGCTACTCCCATACATTCCGAGATATTAATTGAAAACTGGTCAATAGTCAAAATTGACTTGTACCATTTTACCACATCGCTACTGAAATACTCTCATTATTGCAACAAATAAAAGGAACTTTAATTCTAGAGAAGTTTAATTTCTCCCAATGAAATGTATTTCAAGAAGAGATAACTAGTATTCAGTGTGAGGTCATGTTTATTTGAAAATTAACAAGCAAATAATAATTGGTTCAAATAAAATTCTCTTGATAAAACTAGTTTTTTATGTCAGTGTACGATTGAACAAACGAATACGTAATGTTGCTTGTGAAATAAGTACATATTGAAAAACGCAAATTTTCTTTCCTTCTGCCTTAGCGTTGGGTCTGTGTCCCAATTTAAGACTTGGATGCTAATAAAATTAACCCAAAATTATTACTTTAAAATCCACACGAAACACTTGTGGTTTTTCTCTCAACAAGAAGCAATAACAAGTGATCTATTTTCAAAAACAGTTGAAGAAATATTTGAATAATAGTACATTAGTATACGAGGGCGCGCAGTTCGTTTACATTTCGTGGCAGTAAATATTCATTTTCACGTGAAAATTCATTTAAATTGTAAAATTGCCGTGCCTGCCGCTAAAAAAATTAGATTTTACTTGGATTTCCGAACAAACTTAAAATTCCATTGACTTTTTCCCCTTGAATCGAATTCAACGTCTTTTCCCAAAAAATTCCGCCAAGTTTTTTCACCAGTCGAATGATTATAGGGGAGCTGATAAAACAGTTTAACTTGACTTATCTCCCAGTTGAGTGTTTGAGGAATATTTCCGAATCTTTTCCGTGTATTCCGCCCACCCGTATTTCTCAGGATTGACTGAGAATCAATTTTTTTCTTTTTTTATCATGCAAATATTGGATAACAACAAGTCATTCCAACAGAAATTTTCAATTTTCTACCGTGGAAACATCGTTAAACGAATGTAATTTGTGCCGTTTCGACACAAATTACCCTCGCGTTTAGTAAATTGTCCCGAGTCGGCGGAGAAAAATTCACCATTCTGCTCGCATTTTTTGCCCCGACATTTGGTGAAAAAGACCTAAAAATGAATTCAACTCCACGATTACGTGACTTGTTTGGTAATTCGTCTCCAACTTTTTTCTCCATATGTAAAATACAGTTTTCCAGAAAACTGATAATTACACTGATAGAATGATTCATTTATTCCAAACGAGATTCGTTAACTATTAACGAATGGTCGAGTTGAATATGACCAAATGAATATTCGTTAATAGTTAACGAATGGTTCACTCGAATGGCGAAAGTCAAGTCCAACAAGGCTCCTCAAATATACATTCGTTGACTATTAACGAATGAACATTTGGTGGGACCGAATAGACCCTAACTTCCAACCAAAATCCATTCGTTAACAATAACTAATCCGTTCTATCAGCGTACAAACCCAGTTCACGCGTGAGAATATTCCGTTAACGCTTGTGCGCGTAATTTTGTTTGTTCGGGATTTAATGATGAATTTTCGCGAAGGTTTTCCATTATTAATTCTCCATCAATCCCGTTGAGCCCCCGCAAACATTGAAATTAATTAAAACTTGAAGACGTGGAGAGACGTTATGCAGCGAAGAGAGGCTTTTTTTATTTTTGGTTCTTCCGAGGAGTTGCTCCAGGGATAACTTTGATTAGATGAATTAAATCGGGAAGTTTTGATAAACGTGCTATCGTAAATACCCCAGGAATACGAGGAAAAGTTGAGGGTTCTAAGGTGCGCCCAACACTTCCGCAATCCCGGGATATTGATTTCGACCCGGCGGAAAGGTGCTAGTATGTTTACCCCGCCCTGAATCATCAAGTACACTCTTTGATGCCAGTGTGCAAATGGAGAATCGCATAGGTTCAAGAGAAACAAATCTACGACCAGTCTAGTAGTTTTCGATTGACGATAAAAATATTGAGACGTTTTCAAAGAGACGGAGTGGAAATATTCTGAGTACAAGGAGAAAAAAGAGAAAAATCACCGAACGAGTCAAGTAATCATGGAGTGAACACAGAAAAAAAATTTAGTATGCTTCCCTAAAAATAGTCAATTAATGAGATAGATCTCATCATTAATTAGATGAGTATTCAATCATTTTCATTCTTTAATAATTAATAAATGCATATTTGAGGAGCCCTGTTTGACTTGACTTTCACCTTTCAAGTGAACCATTCGTTAACTATTAACGAATATTCATTTGGTCATATTCAACTCTACCATTCATTAATAGTTAACGAAACTCGTTTGAAATGAATGAATGAGACTCTGTGTAGCAAGAAATGCTGGAGACTATTTCTACCGACAGACGATGTATAAAAATATTGCAAATATGTTTCATATCATCCCCGACTATAAAACACGAAGAAAGATAAACCAGCTCAATGGATACTGAACATCCAGAGGTCACGATCGTGAGATTTCGAGGCAGCATTGCCGAGTAATCGGGCTGCCGGCGCAGTAAAAAAACCACAACCCAGTCCGTACACTCCTAAAACCTCGCAAATTCCAAACAGCAATAAATACCAGGAGAATTTCAATCTAAAAACAGCGCATCCACGCCGGAATTCCTGATATTTTAATGAAAACAAATATTTCAGAGTGTTTACGTGAACATTTTTTATTGTGATACACTAGCGACCGGGAAACAAAACCGAACGATGAGAAATTTCAGAAAAAAATGCTTACAATGGTGAAACAATCACACGTCACGATGTGAGACACAATTGCAGCCATAGATAAATGCGCTGACGTGAAAAAAATAGAGAGGGCGGTCTTCCTACCATGCCTGCTGCACTATTTTTTTTTTATTATCAGCAGGTTCAACAAAAAAGTGTGAGCCAATGAGAATCGAAGTCCATATCACATACAAAAGCACATGCTTTCACATAAATGCATCATTATACCCTTTTTCACGACCTCTCTTCGCAGATTTACCGGCCCCATCCCCATCATACTTTTCATTTTTAATGAGAAGTGTTCTTGTATTATTCTTAGTCACGTTGGTTTAGTGAAATACTCAGCAAGTGTTCCTCCACGACATGTTAAATATTGTCACGCCACGAGGATTTTTCTTTAGGTATAATAACAACTTCGTAGGCGGTTTGCTCGTTATCACGCGGACGTTTATACCGATAAATAACGACAGTGGGATGTCGACTGACTATGAAGGAGTAGATTATTACTCACTGGGGGGAAAAGTACTTCACTTTCATGTTTTACGATAGTTCTGGTACGATTACTAAAATAGTACTCTCGTTGTTTGGATGGTCTACCTCATTTCTGTGAATAATGAAGCAGTGCACTTAGGGGACCTATTGATTATTCAACTTTCGATAGTTTCGGGGGAGAAAAATCCAGCTCAGAGCCATTAATTCTGTGTTATTAACGATCCTTTTATCTGGGAGGCAAAAGTTGACGAAAGTCATGAAAAAACACAGTCGTTGAGTGGCGGAAGAGGATAAGTCGGCTTGAGGGTGAGTTTTTTTATGAATATCTGGAGATCTGAAAAGGATGGCGACAATTTTATGAAGATTTTCGTTGATGTCACTTCGGTATTAATGATTTTTCTGTCCGTGGAGAGAAAAATTGGAAAAAAATTATCCAGAAAATCAGGGGCGATTTTGTGGGCCGAAACCTGTTCGCGGAGCCAAATGTGATTCATTAGAAAATACTTTGTATGAAGAAAATTTTAGACTTTGTCCTTTATTGAAATTTGAAAAATAATAAATTAATTAGTAATTTAAATTTCCAAATGACTATGAATTAAATAATTGACAATATGGAATTGTCAATTGACTATTGAATAAATAATTCTAATTTCATAAACAGGATTTTCAATTAGCCGAATAATCGTCAATCTTCCGAATTCAATTATTGATTTAGAAAATAATACGAAATTTGAATATTTAATTGATAATTAATTCAATAATTGAAAAATTGTTGAGTAATATTAACCAATTGACTCATTCAAAATTTTACTTTATTTAAAATTCATGATTATGCCGATGTCTAAAACAATGACTACAATGAAATTCTCCGCATGAGGTTTTTACAATTTTTCTACAATTCCTAACAAACAGGGATTGTATTTTTATTCTCGATTTTTATTTTTGAATGTTGAGGAGCAAATATTAAGCTAGGACAATTTTGTCTCTTATAAGGGGACAAATATGCCCTCTAGTCAGAATTTTTGAGGACCACAAAAGCAATTGAAATCGTCCTGTACGATGTCTAGGGAAAAAAATTCTGCAAATTTAATTTTTCCCTCAGTATTGATTCATCACAGATATTTTTCATAAATGACCAGTGAAAAATTACTTTCAGTTTTCTTTATAGATAATATTCGGCCTTAACACACAGAAAACCCCAGACGTGAATTACGTTTTGCTAAGCGTAACTTACGGTTTACTAAACTTAATCTACGCTCAACGCCAAAATTTGAATATCGGAATTTGAGCTTCAAAAAGACGTATTTTACAGTCAAAATAAAAACGTAAATTACGCTCAAAGAAAGCGTCTTTTACGTATCACTAAGCGTATTTCAGGCTGAAGGAAATCCAAGTATCTTTTACAGTTTGGTGCAGACCTCACTATAAATTCAACCATTTTCGATCACCAAATTTGTCAATTAAAATGCGTAATAAGAATTTGAAATAAATCATGAATATTCTGCATCATTCGGGTTACATTTTGTACAGAATTATTTTCTCAACATTCTGTTTGTAAATAAATAATTGAAATTTTTTAAACTTTTTGAAACCGTTTTGTTAAACATGTAATTGATTGTTTATAAATTATTTATAGAAAATGCTTGTAATTTTCCAAAATTGTCATATTTTCATTATTTTATCAATCTTCCTTCAAAAGTGAACTTTCAAATTTTTTTTAGATTTTTTAAATGTTTTCTAACGGTTCAATATCGAGATTCAAATTCAGACCTGTAAAGTTTACATAATAGCATTATTGTAAGATGTTCGGAAACTTGGGGTGAAATGGGGCTCAAATGAAAGCTCTCATGTTCGACTAAAGAGTGGAAAAGCATTTCACACCAAAAAATAGCCAAAGTACTTGGATATCCTTAAGAATTTCTAAATTACGATCTTAATAGAAATGTATTGTACGATTTACTCATGTGGCATCATTTCCAAAAAAAAACATTGCATTTTACGCTTAAAATAGCTTTTTTTTCTTCGTCGTTAATTACGGATAAGTAAACGTAAAATACGGAAAAAATCGTAATTTACGAATACGAAATTGTAAATTACGTTTATGTAATCGTAATTCACAGGGATTTTGAGCGTAATTTACGCTTCAACTTCAAGCGTAAAGTACGCTTCAGAAAGCGTAAAAGATGACTTCTCAAAGGTAATTTACGTTTAGATTTTTCTATGTGAACTGGCACGGAAGCAATTGACGATATTGGTGACAGAATAACCTTCCCACCTAAAATTTACAACGCAAACCTGAACACTTTGTGCTTGTCTTCTAGGTACAGATACGATGAAGCCATCCATGAAGATGGGGGTAGTTGTTTTGATAGGTGTATGCGTGGTATTCTATCAGTATCACCTATCCAGCTTCGTGAGATTTGATCAATTGACGGATTTTAACAGCCCGGATCCAGCATCACCCTATGGCGCTGCCAATATTCCCGGCTCGGAGATGTACGACTACAGTGGACTCCGCAGGATTTCAGAGGAAATGGTAAATCGCTAGACAATTGTTACTCATTTCGATTAACCTATTTATAAGTCTGTGAATTGTAACCTCCCTAAATACACAACATTTTTCTAAACTTAAGGGAAAATAGTTGGAGATGTGTCATTCAAGAAACCGATGAATTTCATCGAGACTTGAAACAATAGATCCGCAGAAAAATCCGTCGCCATGTCTCCACTTACTAGTAATGAATTCTCCGTGTTACTAAACTATTGGAAAAAGTTTTTATTTGTCTTAGAAACAATTTCATTTGTGAGGGCAAATTTTTTCGACTTTGTCAGTCAACTTTTATTATAATCGCAATGAAGTTTGTTCGTTTGTTGATAATAGGAAATATGACAAAAGAAGATTTGTTACAAGTGATTTGTTTTTATGTGAACGATCCGTTTTGCCTCAATAGCTATCAAGATGCAGATGGAAAACGATTAATTTAATTATGAAATTGATTAGCTAACGATATGGTATAAAAGATGAAATCCAAATATTCATGTCACTCGTTTTTTTCATTTCTGCAAAAAACTAGACAAAATTTTCCAAATTTTCAACGACAGTGAAGAAGAGCTTGAATCTTACTAGGGTCTCCAGCCAGTTTCCTTCTTAAGGTACTTCCGCTGTCACTTACATGGGAACAGTCGACAATGTACAAAAAATGTGAAATTGTGAGAAAAAATTCATAAAATAACCAGAAATATTTCGCAAGGAGTCCGAACACAATTGACTGTTCAGTTTTTTGTAAAAAAATTATTAAAAATATCATTTGTACAGCGTCTTATGAGCCGCGCGTTTTGTGATGATTTGAGAAAATTCTTGAGTTTTCTAAAAAAAAAAATTCTCCGGGAAATAGATAAATAAATAAATTTCCTATTCTAGAAATCTTTTTCGAATTCCTAATGAATCAATTTGTATTTAAAATGCTTCCTGAAATCAATTCCAGAACAAGAAAACTAAGCTTTGCGAAAGTTCCCGCAACTCGCATTATTCATTCATATGAAGCAAATGTTTGCAACGAACTGATATGCTGCAGTATATTTCTGTAGTACTAACAAAGCATAAATTTTTTCGAATTTCTATCACGCAACTTAAGGATATCCAAGTACTTTGGCTATTATTCCTCCAGTGAAATGCTTTTTTAATTAAATTGACAAATTTGATGATTGAAAATGGTCGAATCTATAGTGTGATCTGCTGTACCGAACTGTAAAAGATCCTTGGATATCCCTAACAAAAAAATTTCTGCAAAAATATAAATGGCACTATCATTACCTCAAGAGATAATTCCCCTCTACGAATGTCTCAAACTGCTAGAAATGCTGATGATAATGTGATACCAATATTTGAACACTACCGATATGCATTCATGACACGAATTTCCCGACTATTATCGTCCGTCATTATCTCAAGGTGATAAATGTACGCACGCTGAGAATTACATTAAAAAAAATCAATGACGATTCAGTAGTTAAATACGGTATCTGCTACCATGATTGCTGTCTGCTGCGACTACTGTCGCGTGCTGATTCGTTTAAGTGTGTACAAGAAAATCGCGTCATTGTCATGACGAGACAAGTGATTTGCTTCAATAACAGCATTGAGCTAACTTGCAATGAGTAACCACTTCACAAAGACCTTCCCACTGACAACCTTCTCAAACTGTCAACAGATACGCGCTGCCGTGCGAACGGTGCAAAATTCAAATGGTCTCAGCCCCGAGTTGGCTAATCATCTGGTTCAGGAGCTATGGGCACAATTGAGTAAGCCAGATGCAACTAGACCTGAGAAACCTTGTCCTCTACCAGCCAAGAAGAAGAGTACACTGGATCCTCTTTACATCATCACACCGACTTATAGGCGGCCAGAACAAATTCCTGAGCTGACTAGAATGTCGCATACACTCATGCTAGTCGAGAATATCCATTGGCTGGTCATTGAGGACGCTAAAGTCCCTACTGAGCAAGTCACCAAGTTACTTAAGAGGACTGGGATCAAATTTGAGCATTTAATAGGTAAACTGATTTATTATTATTCTTGAAAGCTATTGGTAAGACAGTATTAAGATTAAGAAAAAGTTCCCACGGCCGTGTATCGAACAATATTTTTTGTCATTAGGCCCGAAAATCTCGCTTCGCTTTGTTAAATCGCAGTTTATCGGGCCTAGTGACGAAATATACTATTTTGTGATACCTGCGTGAAAACTGCACTTTTCGAAACGGTTTATTATGCGTGAAGCGTTCCAAACAATGGACTCGGCAGATATCACAAAAAATGGGATGTGTTACACGTGCATGCGAAAAATTGGAACTTTACTCGCTATTAACACAATATACTCCTACACACTCCTATTAAAATGTACTATAACCTTTGCTGATAATCACCACAGCTCCGATGCCGGATAAATTCAAGAGCAAGAAGGGGGCGAAACCGAGAGGCGTTTCTAATCGCAATCGTGGTCTTCAGTGGATCCGAGCTAATGCCACTTCAGGAGTATTCTACTTCGCTGATGATGACAATACTTATGATATTGATCTTTTTAATGAGGTGAGCTATCAAATTTACGCCTAAGGCTATTCTCGGATAGTTTTGAGTGGTAGTTGATCAAACTGGAGATGCACGTGAGAGAGTTTGAAGGGAGTTGACGTAATATATCACAAGTTAGTTGGTAACGGTGGGTTCAATTTCCAACGCTTTTGTTGAATAACGAACTAGTGACCCGGCAAATGTCTGGGTGATGAAGGAGACGATATTATTCAAACTGACACGCATACAAGAGAAAAATTCTAAAAGTCTCGCATGTGGATGATTCTTTGTCGGGAAGTAAATTTAAATTGCTCAATTTCCGATAGAAGACCTTCACTGAGAGAAAAAGTTCTACCGAAAAATTATGTTGCACGTGAAAATATTTGATGGAGTGGAACAGTTTTACTGCAGGAAAGTTAAGCAACTTGGTAAACAGAAATTTAAGAGCTTTCACAGAAATTAAATTACTAGAAGAATTCGAGCTGGCGGCAGGAAAAATAGTAGATTTCATCATACGGGTATTTCCTGACCAATGTGATTATAATCGGAGCCAAAGGCGAGGCTGAAGATGGGAATTTATACGTGTGCGCCCGTATGAAAAAAGGGCCCACTATCGATTCTAGTTTCCGAGATATTCACGTTTTTGCCTCGGCAGTTCTCATTTAAACAAGTTTTAAATTATTTTTGTATCATTCTCAAACAGCGTCATTTTTCATGCTAAATGCCTCGCATGTTGATGGTTCTTTGTCAGGAAGTAAATTTAAATTGCTCAATTTCCGATAGAAGACCTTCACTGAGAGAAAAGTTAGTTCTGCCGAGAAAATATATTCCACGTGAAAATATTTGATGGAGTGGAAGTTTTTCTATTGAACAGTTCAATAGAATCGGCCAAAAACTAACAGAAAGTTCAACAGAAATCCAATAGAATTGTCTAGCGAATTCGCTAGGGTTTTATATTAAATTTTTTCACACATCTTCAGTCCCAAATTCCACGGAGTTTTCAATTAGGTAATGAATGCAAAGTCCAAGAATATATTCACCTGAATTATTTCTTGCTTTCCATAAGATTCAATATGCCCCCCCCCCCCTCCCGGCGCTCATTAAAATTCCATTCACGATTTGATTTGATATATTTCAGATAAGGCAAACCGAGAAAGTCTCCATGTTTCCAGTGGGTTTGTGCACAAAATTCGGCTTGAGCACACCAATAGTGAAAGATGGAAAATTCTCGGGTTTTTACGACGGTTGGGTAGCAGGAAGACAGTTTCCTGTTGACATGGCGGGCTTTGCTGTTAGCGTCAAATTTCTCCTGCAACGGCCAAACGCTACAATGCCATATCGCGCTGGTTACGAGGAGGATGGTTTTTTAAAGAGTCTAGCGCCATTCAATGCCACTGAAGTTGAACTTTTAGCTGACAATTGCACCCGAGTACTAGCGTGGCACACGCAAACCAAGAAAAACGAGCCAAGTGCAGCATTGAACATGAAACTGTACGGTGCCACTAATTTAGTTGATCTCAAGCAGCAAATAATATGATGCAGATGTGAAATGATCATCTTTGATATTGGACTGCCGATCATATTTCAGGTGAAAATGATCATCGGGTAGATTTTTTTTTGTTCCGATTTCAACGGAATGTAATAAACAATGTGATCCAGTGCCTATGAATGAATAACTTCCTACTGTCGGGTAATTACGCGAGGCGAGGCTGAATGATAAAGAACGGAATGGTTTCTTTCAGAAATGCAAACGTTTGATTAGCCCATAAGTTGAATAAAACGAGAGCATTAATTTTTAAATTAAATTATGAAGAAAATTCCAATCGATGATAATTAATTCTTGAATTCAGAGATTTAGTTTTTTAACAAAAAAAGAAGAAAACTAAAGAAAAGAACACTGAGATAAATTTTTCAAGCGCTTCCGAGTTATTTCAATTCGTAAATTATAAAATGATATTAAAAATACTCGGTGTATTAAGGCGAAGCGTTAGGCAATGATAATTGTGAACAAATGTGTTATATTAAATATGCTATGAAGGCATTAACCAAATACATGCATTAAATGTCACTCGTAGTGATGACACAGTGAGTCCCCCCCCCCGTGCACAACGACAACCTTGTTCAAATATAGATTGAAAATTAAATTTATTACCCAATATTCGAACGAATTATATTGAGACGATTGTGAGAGGTTTTTGGATTATGACGTAATGACACTTTGAGCCCGAGACACTGGGTAACAAGCCCTGTCCACTTATTACACGTACGTGTAACTGTTTACCACATGTACATTGTCAACTTATTTATTGTAATTTTTACATTGAGATGAAAAATGTCGATGAAGATAATGCTCGTATAATTGTCAAGTTTTATTGTCAATAATTTTACCTTATTGCATCGACGAGAATGAACAGAGACAAAAAAAATCAGGAAACATGTATTATATTTGTATAATACGAAATGAAATGAAGAGAAGAGCTGTGAGGCTACTTATTTATACGGCATACTCAATAATAGTGAATAAAAATCCAGAAGTGATTACTACACTTAAGACTTCTTCTTTGTAAAATGTAAAATATTGAAATATAAGATCTCGCTTAGTTGTAATGGACAACGGATCTCATTAATTTAATATTATCTCCACATTTATTCCTAGTTACAATATCACTCTTCAGTCGTAGATAAAAAAATTGATTACATACAGAATATATACTCATCTTTGAATTCATTGTCATCTGTGAACCTATTCATTCGAAATGAACCTGTATACGTACGCAGTTTGGCATTTGCCAGTGCGAAAAACAAAGTCATGATTAAAAATTACCATGATATTCTCTGTGGACCTTCTTGGTCTGTCCAGTAGAAGCTCTTAGTCACGAAAATATAAAATTGGAGGAAGTTTATGAGAGCAGTAGTAATCAACTCCATGAACAATTGCCAAGGCTTTGGTTCAGTCATGTTGAGGCGCAATAGAACGTAAGGAATGACAAAATAACGTGGCTCGAGTAATAACTGGGGGACCAGAATGACGGAGATGCTGACGATGTAGAGGACCTTTGAGAGGTATCTCAAATCTTGCAGACAAGCCAAAAGACCGTAAATCGAAAAACCATAAATTGGCACTAGGAGATACTTCGCCAGGTAATAGCGTCCCATTATTTTGTTCCAGACGTAAAAAACGTAGTGTCTATTGTCAGCGAGTAAATAAGGATGCACGAGGGTATTATTGTGCACGATAGTCGTGAATAATGCTAATAATACACTCGTGATGATCCAATGTTTACGAACAAACTGGAGGAATGATCTCCACTGAGGTAAGACGTAGGGCCAGGCGAAGACAGAGAAGAATACGGTGAAGTAAAAGAGTTGAGGCACGTGAATTGTCGCAACGTGGGCATTACGATCACCCAGGACAATTCCTTTGTTTATGATTACGAATGCTAAGAATGTTATCAGTACTTTTATGTGGCCACGCACGTTTGAACACATCTCTCCGATGAATTTCATGAATGGAAGCTTCCCACGTCTGATGTGATGGACAACGTTATTCCAGAGTAGCTGAAAATTGGAGGTATATTGTCAGTGCAGTTTTTATTTTAGGATTTGGAATTTAGTAGGAAAGTGGTGGAACGTAATGAGTCGATCTCCCACATCTGCTTATAATCAGGATTTAACATTTTCTTTCATGAAATTTTAAAATGAAATTACGTGAATTCGATTTGGAAACATTGATACATAATCAGTATCATTCGAATTGCATTTTGCAATATATGATACTGATTACATATCAATGTTAGTTAATTTTTAATAATTCCAAGAGAAAAAGACTTTCTATGAATTTTTATTACGCCTGCTGGTGTAGAATTGGGCTTTAATGAAGGCTCTGATACAGAACTACAGAAAAAAATTGCTGCAATACTCCGATATCATCAAATATCAAATTATCTCATTAAAGAGTGATGATTTCGGAGAAAGCATTTCCTTTAGGAAAAAAGTCTTCGTCGAAAAAGCTGTATAATCAAAAAAAATGGTAATTTCGACTCATTATTTTGCACCACATTGTTACGAAATAGATCAATAAACATATTCCCAGAATATTTCATTACTTTTGCGTGCATTGGAGTCGTATGAAGCCCTCTATTCACCAGTGTCTCGATACTTCGTGGTGTTTGTGCTTCAATCAGCGTTAAAACACGCTCACCAGCTAATAAAATTACCCATACTATGTTGGTCTGCCTCACAAACACTGAACAGCCACCTGGAAAAAAAAAGTACTTTAGTCGTCATTTCTTGCCTCCGATTTAATCAGATTTCATTGTTCCGGTTGTGTTGTTTAAGACGATTAGACTCACCTACATAAGCCGAGGCGTTGTAATGCTCCCTCTGATGCAAGAGAAACGTCAGCAGTATCAAGTTTATCGATAACACATCAGTGTAGTACAAGAAAAACCAGAAGAAGAGTGGAGGGAATATTGTCACTGCGAAGGCAACTCCGAATTTTTTCAATGCGTTCTCCTCCCTCCGGGCCCATTTTTTTGTACTCAATATTTTGTACGTCAGATACAAATTTGAAAATGTCAATATCAAGTTGATGGATCGTAGGAACAGGGTTGTACATTGCTTTATTGGGGCTAAGAGGACAGTTGAGAGGACGTAGAGACCTGGTGGAGTTGTTATCTTTTTATCCCACTGGAAAATTAGTGAAAAATGTTGACTATCATGATTTGATTTTATTATTTTTTCAAGCACAATCGCAACTAACAACATTGCGGTATTCGACTTCATGCGATAAAATCACAGGGAAATTCTATTGCTGATGAGGAATGAAGAACGAAGTTTCTTGGTGTTAATGCGAAGACTGATTGGCCGTAATTTAAATTTCTGTTAATACAAGAATAATAATTGTTTTTGCAAGAAAAATCTCACTGTCGCAAGTTATTTTTTGCTGCAGATAATAGATTTTCCCCTGTGACCAACAGAAAATATATTCGCATAAGTTATTGTCTATTATTTTTCGCATAATTATTATATTCTACTATATTTTTGTCGTGAATTGGTAAACTGGGAGAAGAGTTTTCGCTTCCACAAATTTATAGGGAGCGATTTAATAAAAAAAACATTTTCAAAAAAAAAACACTTATCGTTGTTTTGCCAATTAACCAGAGATTTAGAATAAATTCTCGCATAACAAAAAGAAATTGTCAATTGCAGGGAAGAGTAGAGCCAAATGAAGACTGAACTTTTTGAAAATGTTCATGAGTTATATATTTTTTGTGAACCAGTTAATTTGACGAATTGATTGGTTAGTTATAAATATTCTCGGAAAGATCAGAAGAATTATGGCCTACGTTTAAATGCAAATATTGTCCGAGTACTCAAATATCCTTGAAATTCCCTACGTTCATTTGTATGCAATGCAGTTCACGGGTAATATCCAATCACTTTCAAGTTCTTGAAGTATCATTACTGAATAATTCAGTATTGCTTTGGTAAAACGAGATAAGTTGATTTTGATAAAAACTCAATTTGTGCCGAATATCGCAAAGAGGAAAGGAGACTCAAGTTTTATCAAAACCTTTTTTTCAGTTCTAATTGTGCCTCACAAACAAGATTCTCGTGAAAAATTTTCCATCTCTTCTGAATTCAAAAATATTCATTAAAAACTCAGCAAAAATCCGACTTTCTATACAAGAATTCCATAGGAAAGCCCAGTGCTATTCCTAATTTTCCACTTTTCCTACTGATTTCTATTGAAAATTTTAGAACTGGATATTTGATTGTAGAAAAAGTCAACTGATTCCAATTTTTCTAAAAAAAAATTCATAAAAATTCTTGGGCATGAAATTCTCAAGTTTTGTTCACCGAATTTTTTTCATTACAAATCGCGGAAAATACCCAATTGATTCTGAGTCATCAATAGATTTGACGGATTATTTTTGACTCTAAATTTGCTGAATTATCAAAATAAAACAGTATTACACTCGAATACTGCACTCTGATTGGCTGAAATCTGCGTGATAGAAAGAAACCATAGAATTCTAGAACTTCAAGAGAATCGGAATAAAATTCCAACATAATTCCATTAGAATTTCCTAGCAGATGCGACGTATTGTATTAAATTCGTTCATACATGCCTCCTTATCTCGTTTTATTCCCTCCCAATTGACGTTCTAATTACATTTCATAATCATTTATATAATAATTACCTCAAAAAATGTACCATTACAGTACTTTTGCACTTGCGGTATGTGAAATGCCTCGTCGATGTAATAATTCGGTTGCACTTGATTCAGATAAATAAATAACAACGATGATAAAGCGACGAATAACACAACTGCCGAGCGCTGAACAATCATGCCGCTCAGTCGATTAGATTTTGGATTTTCAACCGTACTCATTTTGATGAGAAACAAAAACTACTTTTGCGACTCGAGTTTTTTGTGCAGATGTTATTTCCGGCTTGTGTCGGTATCAAAACAATATCGATTGTAATTTCTCAATCGTTCCACACACAACTGACGCGTAAACATAACCAATAATGTATCACCAGTGGCTGATTAAATTCTTCCGATAAATGAAACCTCGATTTTCGTGACTTAAAAGTCGTTCGCGGGGTTACGCTTATGTCATCAATGTGACCCGAAAACTTATGCAATCTTTTGAATTCCGGGATAATGCGATAAACGCGTTATTTTGGTGGATAATAACGTTGACAACATCACAGTACCTTCGGGTTTTCACTGTTTTTTTTCGCCGGGGGGCCGGGCGGGCTCGCGGATGACGCTCAGGGGCAGAGAGAGGGCGCATCGCCGCCGTCAGCTTCGTCCATCTCTCGGGAACTTGTGGAAATATGAAGTGTTGCTCGCACATACACACACACATGCGCACATAACGACCAAATAATGAATTCCCGGGACTCGACTCTTAAGGCTGATATTCATAATTCACTTTTATTATTAATATCGAGATGGTTATTGTAGGTAATCACGGGGAATATCAGAATTTGTAACTGAAATTTTAGTATTTTAATTAGCGTAACCAATTTTTCACGGCTTCATTGTTTATTATATATAAGAATCGTCATCTCTCTTTCAAGTCACTAACTTGACTCACTTTTTACTGTTTTTTGACCATAGTCAAAAACGAGACGTTCAAGATTTATCAAATTAGGGTAAACAAGTTAATTTCTGGACGGGGGTTAGTTTAATTTCGGACGGTTTCCACTGCCATTGAATTTTTCATAAATAATAAAATCAAAATTATACTGATTACTTCATTTTTCAATGATAATATTATTCGTCTATAATCATGTGCGAAGCACAGCGTGCGATAAACTTGACTTATTGCACGACATGACATAATAGTATATTTCGTAACGAGTGCAAAAAAGTGTTTTTTGGTGAGTGGGAGGTTTATATCACGAGCCGAAGGCGAGTGATATAATCCCACGAGCTAAAAAACATTTTTTCACGAGTTACGAACAATATTTTTCATCACAATGTGGCGGAAATTGGACTTATAGCACGCGGAGCGTGCCGAAAAGTTCACTTTTCGTCACAGCGTGATGAAAATAATTTTTAATCCCGAGTTCAAATCCTGGTCTGGACTATCCATTTTTTTAGTACTAGGGGAGACGCGCGCTGGTCCGACTGCTTGTGATTGAGGCTTATGCTATACTTTTTCAATCGATCATACTCAATTCCAGATATTTTATCGACCGGATCGATTGTACTTGATTACCGTTCTAACGATTTTGGGTTTCTTCCCCGGAAGGTGTAATGTTATTAAACAATGTTCCCCCTGAAAAAATCCAAGATCTGACACTTTGGCCCCCAGCGAAAAAAATTTTTTTTCAGTTTCCACTTTTTCCACATACTTTTGAGAGATTTGAATAGAATTTTTGAATTTTTGAAATCATTGGAATCAACGTTCACCCGGCTAAAAAAATCGATTTTGCCAAAAGTCGACTTTCCCCCTGAAAAAATCCAAGATCTGACCTCTGGTCCCGGTGAAAAAATAATTTTTTCAGTTTCCACTTTTTCCACATACTTTTGAGAGTTTTGAATAGCCCGTCGCTCAAATCATTGGAATCAACGTTCACCCGGCTAAAAAATTCGATTTTGCCAAAAGTCGACTTTCCCCCTGAAAAAATCCAAGATCTGACCTCTGGCCCCGGTGAAAAAATAATTTTTTCAGTTTCCACTTTTTCCACATACTTTTGAGAGTTTTGAATAGCCCGTCGCTCAAATCATTGGAATCATTTTCTTGGGAAAAGAATTGATTTTTTTAAATACAAAAAAATTTAGGGGCGTATTTGTTCAGGCCAGTCATTCCCAGGTGGTCCATGCCCATCTCCAAATATTACAATTATGTCAAGTTATGAGATGATTGTGCCACATATGGCCTCAATAAACACCCTAAAATAATTTGGATTAATTCTAAATGTCAATAATTATCAGAGGAGTTGATTCAATATCATATACGGATAATCATCCCATAGTTCAACACAATTTTAATATTTTTAGATGGTCTCGGATCACCTGGGAATGACTGAGGTGGAGAAATACGCTCTTAAAAAATAAGTTCATCTGCCAAGAAAATAATTGCTTGGCAAAAGAAATCTCTTCTCGGTGCTCCCGCGAAGCGGGAAATGTGTGCTTCGCGCCCTCCGGGGCGAAAAATATTTCCCTTTTGAGAGAAAGTAAGTCGAAATTCCGAATGAGATACCCAACATTGTGGTATGGTAAAAGTGAATGAATTTCATACCCATCACAACCGGCAGTAGCGATAAAACTGCTATGAATGAGTACAACTGAAGCCGAATGATTGAAAATCGAGCCGTTCGCGTCGTTCAGGACGAGAAACTTATCAATGCCATCATGTCCTTCCCTTTGTCCGAAGACATCGAAACCCACCATAAAATTGGTAAAATAAAAACTCATTAAAATTGAAATTTACTCTCTAGTCCGATCCCGCGACCTCACCATTAACTATTCCACCTATTTCCCTACTCACTATTAAATGCAATGTTTATTGCGAAAAATAATCCCTCTCAACTTGAAATTTCCTCGTTAAAGTACAATCCAATTCAGTGGATAATCTCAAGCCTGCAAGGGGGAGCGACAGGAGTTGAATTTCGGTGCTAGAGAAGGGGAAGGCCTCACGAATGAAACTGAAACGCGAGTGAGACAGATAGAAGGGTGATAGGTGGTGTTGGGAAGTGTGCGCGTGTGCGAAAAGGCACCGGGGGTGGTTGGTCGGTGGTCCGTAACTCCGAAAAATCGCACGATTCGTGGCTCTTTACTATTTCCCGGTAGTCGAACAAACACCGTTGTTGCTCTCTCACTTCCCTCGTTTCGTCCACAAAAGAGATACAAAAAGGAAAAAAAAACGTGTGTTCTGTTGCGATTTTTTTTTATTTTTCATTATTTTAACTAGCGAAAAAACAACATTTATCCCCTCCAATTGAGGAAAAAAAGCCCTGGACCAGAGGAATTGAAAGAATTTAACGGGCAACGGGTAATTAGTGCACGCATTTCGAATTGGTAAAGGCGAAACTACCGGGAAAAACGAGTCTGGGTTAAACTAAAAGGTTACGAGGCTGGAGGCGCACAAAAACGCACGCGGTGTCTAAAAATGGCGAAGGCATTTCGCGCGGTGACAGTATCGACTTTGTCAAACAATGGACAGTCAACGCCGAAATACGACAAGCCGGTAGGGCTCAATATCAACTACGATCCACAAGGAATCAGCATTGAATTGATATCAGGTAATTCACTGAGTTTATTTGTTACAAGGGGTTATTGAATTTGGATCGATATTTCCGAGACCAGTATCGCTCTCCACGGAGACGCGACCTAACCCCAATTCGCTACGCCGGACGCCTAGAATTAAAATCACGATCACCTCTCGACTTCACTCTACTGTTGCAACATTTTTTTTTTTTCGTAATTTTCATTTTTTCCGGGGGATTTTAGTTCCGCGGGAGAGGCGGCCAGGGGGGAGGGGGCAATGTTCGAGGATTTTGCTCAAGGGGTTCATCATTGTTCGGAGCAGGTGCTTCGAAATGCTTGGAATCACTCCTTTGTCGGTTAAACGTTGAGAAAAAATTGGGTTTAAGGTTTACTAATTATGACTAATGCCTAGTATTTTCTCATTTTTTAATTTATGATGGCGTTTTAGGGGCGAATAAATTGTTATTGAATATATCTGTATTATGCTTTATCGAGAATTCAATCGTGTATTGGTAATAACAAATTAATAAGAAATTATTCATTTTTATTGGATGGGAAATTGTGTGAAAAATGAATCGTTTCGAGCGAAAATATTAGAAGACTCTTTTTTGTAGTTGAAAATTGCTGTTCGGTCGTCGAGATAATCCCATATTTTATACAATGTTAAAAATTAATTTGTTAAGTTATGATTTATTTGGTATTGGATATTTAAATTGATTGTAGAGTCGAAATTTGGGACCAAGATTTATTATCAACTATTTATGACTCTTCAATCATCTTTCCTTTGTTGAAAATATTTAAAATATTACAGCATGTTTGATATGTGAATAAATTGTTATCGTACATTTGATGATTATGAATGAACGAAAGGATCGGTTAATATTGCTGACAATTCGTAAAATTGTGAATTTTTATTAGGTGTGAGTTTATATAAAAAACGAGATGTTTTGAAACGACGATATCAAGTCACCTTTTTTTTATAGAAATGGAAATTTCTTGCGAAGAAAGTCTGTTGAGATTTTCGTTTAAAATGCCTCGTTATTCAGTGGTGAAACGTTGAGAAAAACTTGGGACCACAGTTTACTAACAACTTTTTGTGAAACGTCAATCATCCTTCCTCTGCTTAAATCATATTTTCTGAGATTTGGTAATTATCAAGGGAACGAAACAATTCAGAATGTAGAACGAATTAAATTCTGAATTTTTATTAAATGTGAATTCATATTAAAAACGATCATTTTTTAGATAAAAATATCAACATATCTTTGTGTATAGAGAAAGCTTCTAATACTTGACATTTATCTTGACATTTTCGTCTAATAACTCGTTATCGAAAAAATTCCATATTTGATAAAATTGGAAAAATGCACTTGTCTTGTTATGCTTTATCAATTTACTATTACATTGTTAATTTGGAAGTACACTGATAGAAAAAATTATTTTTATTGAGATATTTCTTTCTTGGAACAAGTATTATATACTTGAACTAATTTCCCAAAAATTAGATCTTACGGTGAATATCAATTATTTCTTCTTGAGATACATTTACTTGAATAAAAAAAAAACAGTCCTTGGCGTCAAGGCACATGTATTCACCACAAAAATAGAAAGGTTCTATTTTTTCAACCTAATTTAATCTCCAGTCAAAAAATTTTCTACTTTCATGAATTGATCAAAAATTCGTACCTAGGAGATAATTACATTGAGGAATGCATTGAACTTTGTTTTCTCGAATGAAGCCGATGTTTAAATTGAGCTTTCCCTACATCACATTGAACAAAATTTGTGATATCCAAGTTTGTGTTGGATTGCCGTAATCTGTGATTCTGTTACTGCAGACGAATGCGCTTTTTTTAGTCAAAAAATTTAATTTCTTTACATCCCAATTTATCTTAATAAACGCCTATTTTATTATACCCACGCATTTCTATTTCAGGCAAACCTGTTATAAGCAACTGAAGTATCAATACGTTAAATTCTGAATTTTTATTGGATAAAAATTGTTCACCGATAAAACGAGTCACTTCAGGATAAAAATTTCAAAGAGGCCTTTTTTGTAGAGAAGGAAATTTCTAATAAAGAAAGTCTCATGATATTTTTTCCCACAATGAATCGTTATCGTTATATTAAATAATTCTAAATTTGGTGAGATTGTAAGAATTTAGTAGTCTTAGTATGCTTTATCAATTCATTATCACATTGGTAATTCAGTAGCGAAGCGGTAAAATGGTTCAAATCGATTTAGCCTTCAGCTGAGTTTTCGAGGAATATCTCCGAATCTAAGGGAGCTAATGAATTTTTCATAATAACCTTCTTTGTCGAACGAATTGAAAGCTACAGAAAAGGTCCTGACAAAAATTTTGCTGTCTCCCCGAGATTTCGAGATATTCATTGAAAACTTAAACCGTTTTACCGCTTCGCTACTGAATTCGGAGATGGAAAGAAATTTGGAACGAAAGTTTATTAACAACTGTTCCTGATCGTTGATGCCAATCACCTTTCGCCTGTTCGAACTGTTATATTATGTCATTCGATATTCGAATAAATTATTATAGGGGAAAAAAACATGAAATTTCACTTTTCACTGAAAATTCTGTAAAATTCCAGAATTTTAAGAAGCATAAAGACGAGAATTCCTTAATTTATTTGAATTTCCACTCTAATATGAACATTCAGTGTCCAATTACGTTAAATTTTCAGTGAAATCTGAAATTTCATGATTTTTTCCCCTTAAATCGCATTCAGTGTCACTGTACTGAAAATTGAAGAATATATTTACCGGAATTTTCTGGTTTTCTATCCACTTTCAGGGAAAAATGGAACTGAAATTTAGTTTTCTTAGATTTTTCCACGGAATTTTAAATTTTTAATGACGAAATTGCTTGAAATTCCAGTGATAATTAAAATCGATAAAAATTTCCAATAATTGTACCGGAAATTTCAGACAAAAATTTTTAACAGTGTACTTGCGACTATAAATTATTTGGAATTCAATCGTAAATTTGATAATCATGAATGAATAAAAGAAACAGTGAATATTGCTGACAATGAGTCAACGGCTCAATTTTTATTGAATGTTAATTTTCTATAACAACAAACGAACGAAAAAATGTTTCTTGAAATAATCCCACATTTAATAGACCAGTGAAAATAGTCTTCTCTTGTTATACTTCATCGCCTCGCTATCAAATTAACAATTCACTCGAAAAAACGACGTTTGCATGTCATCAATATATATTCATTGATGATGATATTACAGAGGAGCCAACCGAGAAGCAGCCAAAGCAATTATTGGAATTTCCCGTAACTCACACCACAGAATGTTCTCGTGTGGCGACAAAAAGTTACGTATTCACGTTAGACACCGAGAGTATCCTCTTGACGTTCTCCACCGAGTCAGGTAAAATTTTCCCCCCAAAACAATTGCCGAAACTGATCAAAGCGAATGAATAAAAAATAGTAACTAAAATACCGACATGATTTCTAGATTTTCGAGGGTTTCACTCACAAATTCTAAAGCTCAAAAATGGAAAAGGTGTCTCAGCATTCAACGAGAGAACCGAGGATCTCTCAGCAATGCAGTATTTTCAATTCTACGGTTATTTATCCCAACAACAAAACATGATGCAGGACTATATAAGAACGAGTACATACCAACGAGCAATACTGGGAAATTTATCGGATTTCAAAGACAAGATTGTTCTCGATGTCGGTGCGGGCTCGGGAATTCTTTCATTTTTTGCGGTTCAAGCTGGGGCAAAAAAAGTTTATGCTGTTGAGGCGAGTAACATGGCTAATCATGCAGAGTTACTCGTGGCTGCTAATAATCTGTCAGATAAGATTGTTGTCATTGCTGGGAAAATTGAGGAGATTGAGTTACCTGAGCACGTTGATTGTATCGTGAGTGAGCCAATGGGATATATGCTGTATAATGAGAGGATGTTGGAGACTTATCTGCATGCTAAAAAGTGGCTAGTTCCAGGTAAATCAAACAACATGACTGATATTGCTTCCGAATAGAAGCTTAGTAATCGTTTAAATTTAGGTTTTCAATTTTTTTGTTGGGGTGACTAAATATGGATAACTAAACATATTTTTAGATGGCGTCTCTGTATATGACACATTCCACAAAAAGTGGCATGGGTTTTGGGCCTTTTAAATTGTGAAAATTTCCTATGGAAAATTACCTATAAATTACCTATAGATATTTTTTTCAATTCGGTCACATGAAAACTGTAAAAACTAAAAAATGAGAAAAACGTAAGAATAAGTATGTCTCTGCTAATTACGTAGTAAAAGGTCTGAAATTTTCCCAGTTCGCTGATTTTAGTGTGGTCAACAAAATATAAACAAAAATTCAAAACCGAAATTTCAAGGTCCAAAACCCATGACACTGTTTGTGGAATGTCTCATATGAGTGTATGTATGTATGTAAAATAGAAGAAAATAGTGAAATAAGAATTTAAAAAAAATTAAAGTTATTCGGAAGCAAATTGCTAATTTATTTATTAGCAATAATAACTATACTCATTTATTTTAAAAAATCAATTACCCCTTATTTTTATAGAAGAATAATACATTTGTCAATCAATTTAATCATGAAGTTGTAAAATATGATAGAAGTCAATCTATCGCATTGTATTGAATATCAAATGAATGTGAATTGATTTTTTATGATTTGATTTCCAGGAGGACGCATGTTCCCTTCTAGGGGAGACCTCCACATAGCCCCATTCTCCGACGAAACTCTCTACATGGAGCAATTCAACAAGGCAAACTTTTGGTATCAAACATGTTTCCACGGTGTCGATCTGTCCTCTCTACGTAATAGTGCTATCAAAGAATACTTCCGACAGCCAATCGTTGATACATTTGATATTCGCATTTGCATGGCCAAATCCGTCAGGCACGTTGTAGACTTCCAAACTGCTGACGAGACTGATTTACACAAAATAGGTAATACAAATTTATGAAATAATTATCAACTTGTGAAATTCTCAGGGAAATCGTCTTACTCATTGTAATTTAAGATGTATGTTTCTCCGGAAATTCATGAAAGGTTCTAGACAGTTTAAGAAAGGTCCAAAATGGTACAAACTCCTCTGGAAAAAACTATAAAATATAACTTTAAGATGCAAAATGTTCCAAGAGACTCTGGAATATTCAAGAAATTTTTAGGAATTTCGCAATTAGTCCAGACGCTAATGCTTTGGAAAATCGTTGAAGGTTCTAGAAAAATATAAAAAACTCCAGACCGATGCAGTAGTTTTATGCCAGGAAATTTTTAAATTAATTTTCAACTAAAAAATTTACAAATCAATCTACCAATTAAATCATTGGTACATTCAAATGAAATTTTTAACTATGAAATAAATCCTGAAGAGGTAGAACAATAAATAGAATTTCGCACTATCGGTTATTACGCATTTAATATTTCCCCCAGACTCATTTATTATCGAAATGATTCGATGTCTGATCACAAAATTAGTAATGAATATCTCTTTATTCCACAGAAATAGATGTTGATTTTCATATACTCGAGAGTGGTACCTGCCACGGTCTGGCATTTTGGTTTGACGTTGCATTTATCGGTTCCACTCAGCAAGTCTGGTTGAGTACAGCTCCCACCGAGCCACTTACCCACTGGTACCAGGTCCGTTGTCTCCTGGAGAATCCATTATTCTGTAAAAGTGGACAATTGCTCTCAGGGAAGGTCATTCTAGTAGCTAACAAAAGGTAACTCCACCATTCTCTCTTTATTCTCGATAAATCAAAGCAAATAAACAGATCGATTGATGTTTATTCTCGTTTTCAGACAATCCTACGATGTAACAATAGACTTAAAACTCGAGGGAACGAACATGGAGAGTAGTAGTAACACATTGGACCTCAAAAATCCTTACTTCAGGTACACTGGTGCTGTTGCTCAATTGCCATCAGGTTTAAACAGTACATCACCTAGTGAATCCTACTGGACAACACTGGATGCACAGGGAGCACGTCAGGCTGTTAACATGGTCAACGGAATGTCAGTGAATGGTCTTGGTGAAGTGTCAATGGACACATCTGGTGCTGTCAATCCTAGTAATTTACTAGCTCTAGGTAAGGTTTTCCTTGATCCCTCATTGTACCACTATTCTCTCTAAGAATAAAAGAAAACAGAAAGAAAAAGAAAATATATTAAATATTCAGACTAGACACTGGCATATTCCTTTCGTAGAGTTGAAGTATTTAAATGCTAACTCAGCAATAAATGAATGCTATTTTCCCCGGCTGACAATTGAACGACGTAATTCGTAGTATTTTGTGAATTGAACAAGTCATGGAGACGGTTGTATTGTTGTGTAGATCATCCGTCCTAAATCGTGACTAAATCGTAGACAAAAAGCGAAAGAATTTCAACGTAAATGCAATCTATTGTGAAATAATTGTGTAGATTTAGGCAGTGACACGTGGTATTTAACTGTTTTCATCGAGGGAATTTAGATTATGTTGTTGATAAATTTTATGGCACAATTTTTTAAAATTCAAAAATACTTTTTTCATCTACAAATTTTTATGTTTATCATGAGACAAAGGGTGCAACAGAAAGTCCTCACTATTACGTTAATCCAATAAGTTTTTTTTTTCAAATGCAATAATGGTCCATAATTATCAATTATCCTCAATCCTGTTTTAATTCTCCTTATGTTTGTAGAATGTGACGTATGTGTAATCATGAGAAACAGAATGGAAAGAAAAATCATTATTTGTAAATATTTTTCATTGATAATTCCCTTGTGATAATGATAATCTGTAAGTTTGTAAGACTGAAAAAAATCCGTGTCAATAAACGGCTCATTGATAATAATGTAATCACGAGAGTAATGAAAATTTTCTTGATTCACTTGGTAATTGGTCTGCTTGGTGGTTGCCTTTTTATCTCCCTCGCATGTTCCCAAATTTCAATTAATTTACCTTTTTGTTTCTGATCAATAATTGAGTTCGGTTGAATGTTTGGAACTTGTTAGTTTTCATTTTTTTCCATGAGTATTACACAGTTTAATTTGCTTGTGTAACAGGGGGTCAGCCAAATATACATCCGGGCTCAATATCGAGCACTGGAAGAGGTAGAATTGGTGGTACAGCAACAAGTACCCAAGCTGCACAGCTTATTGGTGGTGGAATAACACCCAATATGTTCACATCACCAGCAACTGTAAGTATTGATTAATTGTATTAACTGATCAATTTTATAAAAATATCGTTGAACAGTCGTCTTTGAGAATTATTAATTTTTGAGATTAATAACGAAAGAAGAATCGGAAAACTGGAGGGAAGAAATTCAGTTTTTTGCATCATGTAATATTATTGGTGTAGTGCTTTTTGTCCAAATATCATCCTCCAATGACTCTTGAAGTAACTAGTAATTCTGTTCCTGACAACTCGTTTCTCCTGACCGAATTATGAATTTGAACATTTTCAGTTTTCAAATTTATCAATTAAGAAGTGTGAGAAAATTTTGGAAAAATTCATACTTACTGTGCATCATTCAAATCATATTAGTAAAAAATTATTTTCTCACGCATACCCTTTCGGGTTACGTGACCCGAAAGGGTATATTCCCCCCCAGCGCGCGTTCGGTCTCGTATTTTATATAAATCTTATACATCTTTCTATATTGTAAAAATCCAAATCGATTTCTGGTGATGAAATTTTGGTACCCGAAATAAAGACAAAATTAACGGTCATAAGGAACAAAATAAGGGTCGTGAGGGTCAGAATAAGTATCATGGGGATCATATGGAGGTTGGCGAACGAAGCGAGCTGCGGGCCTAGGCCCCTAGTATTCGAAGAATACATTAAATTGGTCTATATTATACATATTTTTTATATATTTTTCCATGGGAAAATAAACTACCATCCCTCGTTTCATATAGAACGCGCATTATCCTGAAGCAAAATCCGTAAGGGAGCATCGAGTAACGAAGAAATAGTGCTAGAAATTGAATTCCTTGTTTACACAGAGAGCAAAATTTTTTTAAAAAGACAAAACCAATTTTTGCAATAAAAAATTTCAGTTTCGGCGCACACTTTGCATATTTTGCACAGAAAAAATTCTTTTTTGATAATCTTTAACAAAAAGAATTTCCGGCGCAAGTAAGACCTGTTTGAGAACTCGCTGTTTTTCTCTCACTGTACTGAAACAGGTTTAGCGCAAAATTGTCCAATTCTCATTGAAAGAGTCAAGTATGAATTTTTTCCACTAGCGGTCATATGATGATACTAAAATCATATAATCCTGCCTGCGTATCAATCGCGGCTACAGCTTGGTGTTACTTTCCAGCAATCGCTGGTACTTGGAAATACATCGCACTATCCAGTGAATCCAAGTTTGATGATCGGTGATTACGTGACACCTGGTAATGGAATAGCACCACAGGCATATCGACAATGATCCATGGCTAAATCACATCGTATTGATTATACACGTAAGACAAAGCAATTGCATGGGACGATGAATAATCGTCAGACATTAATTGCTAACAGTAATAATTGTAATATTAATCGACAAGATCGTAGATTTGTATTTAGTACACCAGCCAGTAAGTTACGGCTGTCATCGGCAGTGAGAATTTTACATTCAACTGATGATGAGTTTACCAGTAAATTATCAGGTAGATGTGCTAAGATCGATGATATCGGGTTACGATGGATTTCAGGGAAAAATTATAATCAGTTGTGGGAAAATCGGTGCAAAAGATTGCACGCTATTCTCTCATAGCGAAACAATTTTTTATCAGTGATGAGAGATAATATTTGGTCATCAGTATTGAAGGAATAACAAGCATCCCCTAAATCCATCTCTCACGAAAGAAAAAAATTAAATAAATACCACGAAAAATGATTAAATAACTTTCGTGAACTGAAGGGAGATTAATCCACGAATAAGGAGATTGCCAAAATCCATCGGAAGAAATACGATATTTTTTAATGACAATACTATTTAATCATTCGCAATGTTCCGTGTAGAATTATACGAAAAAAGTCCCTTTGAATGCTCTTATACTTTCAATACCTTTTTTTCCTTATGATCATTCACGAGCGTTTCGTAAAAGCTCTTGCAGTGTCGTTTTTTTTCCCTCGGATTTTATCTCATTTCTTATTTCCATTTGACTAGGAGCAGTTTGAAAGTTTTTTAGATCGAGTAAAGTTGAACGGCTTTGATGAAATTTTAAGTTGAATCTGTGCTCGATGTCGAAGATATTTATACGACCCCTTAGAATAGAGTATTTTTAAGAAAAATAAAGAAAAACAAATTGTGGATTATGTAGAGGGAAGATGCAGTGCTAACAGCAGTTTATAATCTCTTCGGTGTGAATGTTTGAGGCACTGTGGCATTGCCTGTCGATTTATTTTTTTATTGCATTGAAGAATTGAGTCACCAAGCTGCGCCCTCTTGACGATTGAGCAGTCATTCCGATTGGTGCTTTGAAATTTTTTTAGTGACGATGGTTTTTTGAAATTCATTTCTCCAATGTAGAATGATGAAGATTCATCACGTAAATTCATTAAGATTATGCATGTGACATCATTTCAATTGAATGTATCTGAATTGCTGCGAAAATATCCCTCATTTTTTTTTTCAACATTCAATTGCAACGAATTAGAAGCGAGATATTACTTTGTATCGTAAATTGTACATATAATAAAATAATGGCACAATGACAATTAAGGATCTCAACCACGAGCCGACGTGCCGAGAGTAATATTTACAATGTAGCTCCTAAGAATAAAACAACCCAGTGTGTGTATTTTATTTTGTCGTAAACATCCCAATCGCACAAACACTTGCCATCTGCTTAATATTACTTGTAATATTACCTGTAACATTGATGAAGTATTTAGCTATTTTTTTCAGAAGGGTCCGCTGTGAGTGACCGTCCCGCTTTATTTCGTGTAATTTGAACGCAAAAGTTTTTCTTTTTTAATGATATTAATCGATTGTGGTGTTTACTTTTGCATTAATTCCATTCCTGCATTCTATTTGAGGGGCAGGCATTCCACGAGTGCTGGTCAATGAATAATTAACAATATGAATGGACACATGCGCGAAAAAATTTAATAGAAAAATCTAGCGAATTCGCAAAAAAATTGTTCTGGATTTCCATTGAACTTTCTCTTAGTTTTGGCCGATTCTATTGAAATGTTGAATAGAAAATATCGAATTGAGACATTTTTTCAACTATTTCCTCGGCTCGAATTTTTTTTAACTTTTTTCATTCTATTTTTCTTTTCTTTTAATCCAGAAAATTAAATTTTGAAAAATGGAAAATTCGAGTCGAGGAAATTCTATCGAAAATATCTGAAGAGGAGTTGTATAGAAAAATCAAATTCTATTGACTTTTTCCAGAAAATATTTTCTATTAAACTGTTCATAGAAACTTTAACGGAAATCCAATAGAATGGTCTAGCGAATTCGCTAGGTTTTTCTACGAAATTTTTTCATACGTAGAACATAAGGGAAAGCTGGGCAAAATGAATACTTCTGATTTTTCTCAACATATTTGCATCTCGGAGATGAATTCATACATGAGGAAGTATTCACGGTTCATCGTCTTTTCTCCTCCGGTAAAATTCCCCCGACATTTTTCCCCTCAAAATTTTCCTCGTACCATTTCTTCTTCAAAAGCGCATTGGGTGTAATATTACCCATAAACAAAATAAAATGCTTCTACAACTGATGATAATAACGCTGAGATTGCAACTGGTTGTTTTAGATTTTAGTGAACTTTACGGACGCCGTGCGTGAACTCCCACTTACCCTCGTCGGAACAGTGAACTTAGCAGGTATCACAAAAAATTGGTTAAGTTACGTGTGCGTGCAAAAAAGTGGTTCTTTACGCACTTGTAACGCAATATACTATAACCCATTGAACGATCAAGCTCACGAAACGTATCGGTGTGAGAATGGTAGGGTTGCAGCCAATGAGCACGCGTGACATGGATCGGCAGACACGTATCAATCGCACAGTTTGTTACGCTGAAGAATACTCTCGGTTTATAAAATTAGATTTCTCTCCAATTTGTTGTCCTATTGATTATTTTTCGTGTGACTTTTCGAGGAAGGAATGTCGGGGAATAAATGTGCGAGGGAGAAATGGGACAAGAAAAATTTGGCGGGAAAGAAAAGACGGACTACCGTATTCTCCTCAGGAACAATGATCTTATTCCATTAAAAAACCGATCAGTCATTGATATATGAAAAAATTAAGTGTCTTTTTTGCTTCAATTTCACCTCGTTCAAGAAAAAGAGAAAGAATACTGCTAAGAACAATTGTATAGCCCGACTATGTATATACAAGCAAATCTCTTCCATTAATTTCTTTTAGTTCATCCTTTTTTCTTGTAGTGTGTATGCGTGAGAATGCGAGGGTGCTTTTTTAATGAAATAGAAAAAAAACGCCCGATGACTGAAATTTTACACTCAAAATATACCTCAGGTTGCAGTTGCGAACCCAAATTAATGTTTCTTTTCTGTTTAATTAACTTTCCTTTCTAGTTCTGCCCTCTAGTATTATGTCGATTATTGCGGCGTTAACGTGTATTTAAACCGATATATTGAGCAACAACGATGAACAGTGCGAGGGACAAATCAGTGGGTTCTCTCCCATCCGCACATGACTTAACAACAATTCGAAAAAAGTGTGAAGATGCTAAATAACTTGTGGACTAAAAGAATAAAATCTGTAATTTCAGTATTGAGACAATTTTTATTTTTAAACACTGGCTCGATAATACTACATCTTCGATATCACTCAAAGATGTCTGTTCTCTCATAAGAGTGACAATTTTAACATTAATTAATGATTCCACGAATTGTATACTAAAGTTGAATTGATTGTAAACATGAACTCTGATTTTTTAATTGCGACATTATCAATGTAGTGATTAATTAATTATAGAAATGTGAATTGTAAGAGGTAGGGTCATGAAGGATCAGTAGGTAGTTTCCATCGCTCAAATAAAGGAAATTATTCAATAAGTTATTGATTATGATTATGTAAAATATCCCATTCCCATTTGATCATTCAAAGACTTTAAGGATGTTCTACACCCTTTCTGCCAAAATTCACGTTTTTTAAATTTTTCTGGCAAACTTATGATGGAATTGGCGGAAAAAATATAACGTTTTTGCGTTTTGTCATTATTTAATGACTGACGAAATTTTAAGGTGGTGCGAACATTTTCCTGCGTTTTCTCTAAACTTTTAAAAAGAATCACAAAACTAGAAAAAACGCATGAAAATTATCGCACCACTACGCAACTTCGTGAGCCATTAAAGAATGACAAACCACAAAATCGTTATATTTTTTCACGTCACTCCCATCGATAATTTGCCAGAAAAATGAAAACAACGTCAATTTTGGCTAAAAGGGTGTCGAACATCCTTAAAATAGAGAACTTGTATGGACTTCAGTTTTCCCTAATTTCTGTACTCATCGATTCTGCACAAGGATTTTTTAGTGCCAAATATTTTGACACCAGGTTTTTTGACCTCTATAGATTTTTCGGCGCCTTCTGTCATCAATAACGGAACTTAAATATCTTTGGATAACAAACATTTTCATATTTCACTGAAAAGAATTATTATTATCATTCCAAATGATCGATTTTTATGCTTTCCACATTTTTTTTTCATCGTTAATTATTATTGTCACAGGCAATACAGGTATAGTATGCTCCCCAGTGTGAGATATTTTCTTCCTGTCAATTTTCGAGCCATGAGTTTCTGAAGTACTCCTCCTCTTGATACAAGTAAAGGAATAAAGGACTTCTGAGCATTCCAAAGGCTCTAAGGAGATCGTAAATTTCCTGAGTATTTGGATGCAATTGGAAATAGAACGCTGGCTCCTTTAGATTTCGAGAAGTACTTGAAAAACTAGGTGATTATGGATTAATAGAACGAAGTAAAAATTGAAATATTTTATCATTCACCAGTAGGTGTGATTTCCCACTATATAGTTTGAATTGCAAAGTATGACCCCTCGGTGACTTGTGACCATTATTCGCTTCGGAAGTTTGAGAGATCACTAGTTACTGTGGAACTCCCTTGCCACTAAGTCGTATATTTCTCTGACATTGTTGTGATTTATATATTTAACAATGTTTCATTTCAGATGGTGCAATTTTCTCAGTTTCACCATGTAAGTATCATTCTTCATCCATAATTGAAAACAGCCTTGATCACCAAATCTACTTTTCTCTTAGAATTCTTGCTCTCTCGTTGATTTCACCATCTCGATTACTGCCTGTCAAACAGAATGATAATATATCTCCCAGTCCTGGACTCGGTAAATCCTATTTGTCAAGGATTCCTTATGAGATAGAACCAAAAATAAAAGAATTTGTGCATCACTGAATTTTCGTAGGAAATGACGTGGCACGTTGTCTAGACGAATCAGTAAATCCATGTACTGATTTCTACGGATATTCATGTGGCCATTGGACAGACCATCACATTCCGGCCCAGGGATTTCCAATTTGGTCAAATTGGTACATAATCACGCATGACATAAGACCGAAGATTCAACGTTTGTTGAATGAAACAGATTCCGAAACAGACAATGAGGCAATTCGCAAAGCGCGGAGGGTCTATCGAGCGTGCATGAACAAAGGTGGCGAATGTAAACACTGAAAGAAAAATTTTCTAATATAGAGACCATATTTACTTGAGAGAAATAAATCATTTTCAAAGGGTTAAATCTCAGAATGCGTCCGCTTACAGAACTCGAATAGTTTCATTTATTACTACTGTTCCGCGTTACATCATGAATATATTAAATATCGAAACATTGGAGGTGAATTAAGCTATGGAAGGAAAACTACTTGTCTCAAGTAAATACGTTTCAGATATTAGAATTTTTTTTTCTCATTGTATAAAAATTCAATGAAACAATGCAAAGCCAAAACGTGTGGAAATGTTTCAGATAAAATTGAAGAAATCGGTGCTGAGCCACTAAAATCGGTAGTCAATGATAACGGAGGATGGCCGCTGATAATGAAACCTCAAGAGTGGAGTTCGAAAAACCTTACTTGGCAACAAGTGCATGCGAAATTCATGAAAACTTTGGGGGCCGAAGCATTATTTGCGATTGAGATTGTGGCGGATCCTAGAAATTCTTCTATCACCAGGCTTGCTGTTAATAGTTTATTCCTTGCATATTGCCAGGAAACTGTGTTTACATGTTGAACATTTTCTTGAGACAGAGATTTTAACTCTAAAGCTCAGATTTTCAAGGTTTTTCACTTCTCACGATTCAGGGAGGTCTCAAGCTCCACAATATTTCTGTATCAGAGAATCTGATTATTATGCTAATAATATTAACTCAAGCGAGTTCCATCGACAAATTCTTATCATGTTTTTGCATACAGTTTCAATATACAGGCTGTCTCAAAATTTATTATGCATATGGTAAGGGTAAGGGTAGCTCGGGGATGCCATTTAGACACGAAACCTAATGAAACGTGTCATTTCCTCCGTGCATGCATTGCGTGTAGGAAATAACCCTCGATCACTCGCTCAATGAGCGCGGCAGTGCCCGTTTTCGCATTTTTGATATCTTAGCGGGCGTCTCGACGCTTAAAAATTCTGAAAAAAATTAGGGTTTCTAGTTCAATCCTTCTATTAAGCGTTGGCGTTGCCCATTTTTTTCTCGGGAAATTTGTTCAGCTAAAAAAAGGAAAGAAACGTCGAAAGGACAGAAAAGCGACGCCGCGTCGCCCGGTGCGAGTAAGTCCTTGTCGACTCCTCGAGCGACAGTGTTGCTACATTCACTGCCACACTTGAAATGCGCGCATAGCGGTAAGCGCCAAGGTGGCAACTGCGCGCTCGGTTCAATCCAGGGACGCTGCGCTAACCGTGCAACGGATGAAGGCTGACGGCCGCGCGCGAGTGATCGAGGGTTTAATGACTTCTTCGTCACTCATTTCGTGAAGCCTCTTTTTTCGTCTAGGAATATTTCCTCCGAGCAACATACCCTCAGGATATGTACAATAAGTGATTTGAGCCCTCCCAGGAAAAAATCAGCCGATAAAGTGCAGCAACTTATCGAGTTCGTTTTTGTTGTCTAAGATGTTAAATAGAATCCGCATAAATTCTTCTCTAAGCTTTAAAAATCGAAAAAGAAAAATCACTTGTCTCACAAAAATATGTTCCACGTGCGAATAAATTTTTCATCAGTGGACTTCCACTCTGCGCTGATAGAAAAGATGGAAGGATTTAGTTGCTGTTAACGAGGCTTTTTAACTATTAATGCGATCCGTCAACTATTAACCAATGGCGCTAATAGTTAACAAGCCACCGCAACCAAATTCTTCCATCAGTGTGATTGATTAATACGCTGTCATTCATAATCATCTTTCAGGTTTCAGAACCAGATCTTATTCTGAAGAAAAAAGAATTGGTTGCGCCTGGGAAATTTGCCCTGTCAATGGCCTACAACTTATACAAAGTCAAGATAGCTAATGTCCTCCAAAGATCCACAACATCATCGTCTGAAGAGCAAGATAACGTATCGCAGTTGATGGAGTTAAATAATTTTGAGAGTGAACTAGCAGAGGTATTTCCCAATATTGAATCGATAATTGGACAATTTGAAATAATGAACTTGCTTATGCAGATTACACATGATGAGCAAGGCATCAAAGAAATCGATAAGTGGTACAGTCTGATGACAATCGACGAACTCCAGAGTCTTTATGACAGTGCAAACATGACCAGTCCAGTTGCTAAAGTAAAGCAAAAACATTTCAAATTTCAGACTATCATATAAGAATTCTGACTGAACCCTGTTTAGATCAATTGGCTCGACACAATCAGAGATGTATTCACATTAGCTCCGGAAATCACTGTGGATGGATCAGAACAGGTGATTGTACCGGGGAAGGATTATTTCCCGAAATTTGCTGCATTGCTCAATAGAACTTCACCGGAGACCATCGGTAATTTTCGATCTGAATAATATCTCTTCAAAGTATCTAGTAACGAGGAGGTGAAATGTCCTTACAATGAATTAATTTCCAAATCTGTCTTGATTTCCTGTTTACGACGATGATAACAGACGGTTTTAAGTACACTGATAGACTGATTCATTTATTCCAAACGAGATTCGTTAACTATTATCGAATGGTAGAGTTGAGTATGACTAAATGAATATTCGTTAATAGTTAACGAATGGTTCTTGCATCAAGTTGTTTTGTAACTTCGAGGAAGTACAAAAATGTGCCTTTTCCCCAGAAACCCCTTGGTACTGGGTACAAATACTTTTTCTACCGATTGAAAGTAATTGTTTTGGGTGTATATTTCTTGCGACACTTTTCAAAGTGTCACTTTAAATTGTAATTTATAATAACATTATAAATTTCACTTTACGCACAAGTGATGAAATATACTATTTCTGATTACGTTTAATCATTTGTTAACTATGTGCATCACTTCTTCATTTATCGTTTTAATGTCGCAGTGAATTACATCATGTGGCGAGTAATTACGGATATATCCCTTTACGCGAATGACGAACTGAGGGAACTCTTGACAAATTTCAATGAGAAACGCGTTGGGGCAGATCCAATTGGCACTAGGTCGGTGTCATTATGGAATTCTAATCGAATTCACGCATTGCAAATGATTCATTCTTCGATCTTCGTTTCAGGGAATACGATTGTGTGAGTTCCTCGCAAATGGAACGTGCAGTTTCTTACGCATTTGTCAAGAAACACTTTTCCCCAGAATCCAAACAAGCGGTAATTTAAATAGAACGATATCAAATATTGTCAGCAGTTGCACTCGTTATGCTTTATAGACGATGGAGTTGGTGGCGAATATTCAACAAGCTATGAATCAATATATCCGACAATCACCTTGGCTGGATGATGAGACGAAGAATCTGGCTACTGAGAAAATCGATGCTATCATAAAATTCATAGGTTATCCTGATGATTACAATGCTGCTAACATAGATGAATATTATTCAGAGGTAAAATAGCACATTTCGATACGAATAGGGTAGCTGGTGCCTGTACCGCACAGCGGGTAATACCGCCCACCCTTTTCAACATAAATTTTCAATTTTCTCTCGTGGAAACATCATTAAAAAAATCAAAATCATTTTCTGGCGAATTCTCAAAATATTTCGACCCCAGAATTTCAGATTTTTCAAATTTTTCCTTGGTCCATAATTCAATGGAGTGCGAAATATATATTCGTTATACATTTCCACATCCATTGCGATATTTTCAATAGCAGAAAAATATCTTCATCAGTTATTATTGGCTATTTTATCAGCCTCCGCGTTTGTGGGTAATTCCGCCCAGAGTTGGTCTGCAGTACTCAAAAAAGTCATCAAAACAAGGTAGGCGGTATATTGCACGCATGCCGGGCGGCATTACTCTCAAAGTTCAATTCCATCGCTCACTGGCCGATGGCAATTGAATTCAGTAGCGAAGCGGTAAACCGGGTTAAGTCGATTTTGACTTTTGGCCATTTTTTGACAAATATCTCGGAATCTAAGAGAGATAGCAAAATTTTGCTCATTACCTTTTTTATAACCCTCAGTTGGCTCTACAAAAAAGGTCATGACAACAATTTTTCTATCTCTTTTAGATTCCCAAATATTCTTCAAAAACTGGCCAATAGTCCAAATCGACTTGACCCGGTTTACCGCTTCGCTACTGAATTACATAATTAAATATGTTTAATGTTAATAAAAAATCTGTCCTCTTCACATCTTCAAGTAAACATCTCGAAGAACCCATTCTAACCGTTTATGACTCCTTGGAGAGTGCGAGGCTGGAAAAAAATTCCCCGTAGGTGGGCGGTATATGCACCCGTGTTTTTTCGCCTTCAGCGAACGCAGAATTTCTTACTGTGCACAAGTGATAAAAATATTAAGTTGAGATAAAGAGATTTGACACTTATGAACTAAAACTTTTGGTTTTTCATTTTAACGTAGTTAGAACCAACAGACAGCTATTTCGAAAACGAAATGAGAAGGAGAATTTTCGCGATGAAAAAAATTATGAGAACGTTACGTAAGCCAACGGAGAAGAACAAGTAGGTTCATAATAAGAACCGTATAACGGGGAAATGATAAACAGCAAAAGTCCATTTTACTTGACGATCAGTTGGAAAATTTTGTTGGAAACATCTTTCTAAAAATTTCGTTGTATTTCTTACATTTTGAGGTATTCATCAAGAACTGTAAATTTAAAGCGGAAAGTGCTTTACCATTTCCTTATTTATCTATTTTCAGTATTCAATCCATGAAAATTTGCATCTAATTATTGTTACAGGTGGCCAATCGAACCCAATGCAGTCAATGCATATTATATACCAGTATTGAACACGATGAGTGAGTATAGGTATAGACATATCATTCAAAATAGGATTGAAAATAGGATTGAGCCTGTTCGAATCATGTACATACAACCTACAGTGTCACGTATCTCGAGAGCCTAACTGACTACAGTTGATTCTCACCATCATGTGTGTCCATCATGTTAAAATGTTGTCATAACATCTAATAATTTATGTGTTTATTTAGGTAATTAATATTTATTTTCGAGTTTTTACATTTCGTTCCCTCTCGAGTTTTTACATTTTGTTCCCTTCCCTATCTGCGTTACCACGGGCCAACTTACTTTATCCCCAACTGCACCCCATTTGGGATCGTAGGTAATTAATATTTTATTTCGCGAAATAAGATGAACTGAATATTATATAATTTACCTTAATTATTTATTTGAATATTCCAAATGGCGAGGTCACACTACTCTAGTTCGCTTTTGATACTTTTGTCCCAAATAAATTCTTATTCTGTATTTTGATCTGCTAGAAATCATGGAAATCACACGAAATAAAAAAAAATCATGATTTCTAATGGTGATTGCGAAATCTTATACGTCGAAAAGTTTAGCGAGGTCTTATTCAGGGGAAGAACATATTCGGTTTTAAAGAGTGAGAAGATCATCCTTGATCATTGACTTTAGAAGAAATACGTAATCACTGGATGTTTTACCCCATTATCCATTGTCATGCTAATTCAAAATGTATTTCAGTGGTGCCGGCTGGAATTCTCCAACCCCCTCTTTTCGACCTAAATAGACCTAGGTAATGTATATCAATGAAAAATATGTAATGAGTCTTTCTTGTTGCAAACAATGAGAATTTTGCAGTGTAATTAATTACGGAATGATTGGTGCAACGATTGGCCATGAAATCTCGCACGCATTGGATAGCAATGGTAATTAATGATGTTCAAAGAACAGGTGATTGAATAAGTCAATGAGTGGAATATTCTTGCAGGTCGCCGATTCGATAAGAATGGTAATGCGGTGACTTGGTGGTCACAGCCAAATATTGACAAATATGAAGAGCACGCACAGTGTTTTATTCATCAGTTCAATAATTATACGATATACGAGGATGGCGCACGGTCGATTCCTGTAAGTTTTGAGAACTATTTGATGAAATTAATATGATCTCTTAATCATTGAACAAATGCACAGTTCAAAGGGCGCGACGCGGCGCTGACGCTTCAACATGACCGACAGAACATTTCGAATGAAATCAATAAAAGTGGTATTAGGGGAAGCTTTGTATTGATACACACCATTGAAGCCGGTCTCTGATTCAAACGGAGAGAAATATTTAATAAAAATTACCTGTCTTTTCCGTAATTATTATCTAAAATCACAGAATTTTTCCAGAGCGTTCCGTAATTTTTAACTGAATCTCCTGTGAAAACTTACGATACCGTCACTTAAATTTTTTTGAGTCGATTCCGTAATCGGTGAGTGAACTGTGAGTTCCGTAATTTTTACTGAACATTTCTCTCCGTGCAATTAACTATGCTCCTCTATAATAAATGGCTGAAACTAAATATTCGTGACTTTCAATTATGGGCAACCTAAGTAGCTAATATGAATTTAAATTTATTTGAGACAACTCATGTAATAATTATGGGTGCTCAGGTAGATGCACGGGACCACCCTTCAGGTCGTTCCTTCAAGAGCTATCTAATTTTTTAAAATTATAAATTCGAAATTTCCGCTCCGTTCGAAACTTCCACCGCACCATAAATATCTCAAACTCCTGGACGATCAGAACAATTCAGTGTTCCACAAGATATGAATATTGGACTCATTGAAATTTACTCTACTGCATTTATCATGGACTATTTTTGTAGGTGAATGGAACTTTGACATTGGAAGAGAATATATCAGACTCTACAGGGCTGCAAGTGACTTGGGATGCGTACAAGATATTCCGTGAAAAGCATGGGACCAATGGTGGGAAAATTCCCGGATTGGAGCGATTCACTGATGATCAAATATTCTTCTTGGCGTTTGGACACGTGAATTAATCAGAACTTATTTTTATTCGTGAATTAATTCTGTCGTGACTATTGCGAAAGATTTAACTATTTTATGTTCATTTTCAGCTGTGGTGTGCGTACGAGAGTGACATGTACCTCCAACAGTACAGTCCTGACGACGTTCACAGTCCGGCCAAAGCTCGAGTCAACGGCGCGGTGTCCAATATCAAAGCTTTCGCTGCAGCTTTCAATTGCCCAGAAAATTCGACCGTAAATCCCTCGAAAAAGTGTAATATCTGGCTGTGAGAAATAAATCTTTGTTGATTTTAATAAATTTTTGGTGAAAAATCTCATTCCAGTTTAACAGTTGAATTCGTGATATTTTCGGTTTTCTGACACTTTCCATTCGAAAATTCAGTGGTATTCGTGGGTTTCATAAAATGATATTTTGACCAAAATTACAAATCAATTAAGGGGAGACGGCGGAGAAATTTGAAAGTCTTTATCAGAGTTAGGACATTTGTTTTCAAAATGTTCGTTAGACTCGAAATTGGAGAAATTTATTTTACCCTTACAATGTGTGACCCTGGAGACGTGTGATCCTGGCGAGGTATGAACATCGTAATTTATCACCCTCGCGAGGTATAATCTTCGCAAAGCTTCACGCTTTACGAGAAAAGGTAACATCGACTGGTTTTTGTACATTTTTTACATTTATTACGTAAATTACGGTTTTTTTTCAATGTTATGTAAAACCTGCGGTTATCAATAGATGCTCAACCCTGAACTTGAATATTTTGTAGAAGAGCCCCTGAGAGATTCCTAAATTCAAGGAAAAAAAAATTGCAGACAGCTGTATCTTCCATACTTCTTTCTCGAATTTCCTAGAGACTCCTTGCGTTGCCTCGAATTTTATGAAAACTCTTTGAATCCTCTCGAATTTTCTAGAAACTCCCTGAATTTCTTCGAAATTTCAAAAAACTTCTCGAATTACCTCGAAACCACATAAAAACCGTTTTCCAAAATGATCCCCCATATTGAAACCATAGACGTATCCACGTCAAAAATTCTCCAAAAAATGAAAAAGATCGCTCAACCTTTGAATTCAAACCTCAGAGTTCTATTGGTCTGCGAAAGTATACCCTCTGATTGGCGGTGCAGAAATGGGGGTGGGGGAATCCATGTAATTTTAAGGCGCACTCTCTTCAATTTGGCGTTTGCCTGTAGTTTCTCTCTCTCTCTCTCTCTCTCTCTCTCTCTCTCTCTCTTTCTCTCTTTTTCCCTGACAAACCTTAGCATTATCCAAATGTGCACCACGCGTCCAAAACAGCCGCAACTCTAAACCTCAAATATAATACTTTTTTCTTCTTTCTATCAAAATTCTTTCTTTTGCATAATTTTATTGATCACGTAATTTTGGTATCACTACTATACAAAGTGTTAACATCTAGTAGTGAAAGTTTTCCATTCGTCGTGGAAAAATCATCAATCAAACCATTGTTGGTGCTANCAAAATATAACTAAATCAATAAATCTATACCAAATGAAACATCAGAAAATACACCCACCTTGGTACGCACCCTCGAGCTCATGTCACCCAAAAACTGACTAACTCCCTCAAAAACACACCCTTAACACACCCTCTAAGCTATTTTACTCTTGAGAATCCTTCGGAAAAGACGTCCAACTGTNCATAATTTTATTGATCACGTAATTTTGGTATCACTACTATACAAAGTGTTAACATCTAGTAGTGAAAGTTTTCCATTCGTCGTGGAAAAATCATCAATCAAACCATTGTTGGTGCTAGCCTCTTCTAGAGTGAGAGGATATAACCACATTGAACAGAAGAAGAAGAATCAAACCATTGACATCATTTACGAAGGGTCATTCGTCGCTGAAGTTACACGGTTCTGCTCAATAAAGGTGAGTAATAAAACTTAATTCCAACGACCTTAACTAAAAAATAAAATAATAAAATAAAAAAATAAAATAATAAAACTTAATGCCAACGACCTTTTTAAGGAGGACTCAACTTGTCTTCATGGATCTGCGAGTTTGGTATAATTGAAACGAATAAGTGATTTTTGTAATTAAATTGATGGGAAACTATTTATCGCTGATAACAGCAAAGAGGAAGAATATATGCTTTTGACAAGGGATAACCTAATTCTCAGTTCCAACAGGAATAACTTGACGAAAACTAGAGTGAAAGATTCAATTCTTCGATTTTAGTAACCCTAGGGAGCAAATAGCCACCTAACAGCCACCTAATTAGGTAACGTCGACTGGTTTTTGTACATTTTTTACATTTACAACAATTAGGTGGCTGTTAGGTGGCTACTTGTTTTGGTGTGAAAAAGGGTAAGTGATACCTGCAACGATTATGGATGTAAATCTATGAATTATTAAGGAATTTTAGTAGCTTTAATGACATTAATCTCCATTAATTAAGGAAAATAACAGTTTGCGTATTGAAAGGAAAAATAAATCAGTAGGGGGAACGCCGCCGGATGGCGGCAGTGTCGACTTCTCGCCCAGGCCGATAAAGTCGGCAGCAGTGGCGGGAGAAAATTGATTATCCAATAGGTTCATATTGGCATTTTTTTAAATTAGTTTAATTCTGTACTGACCCAATTGCCCTACGTGAACAATGTTATCGCAAATAGATATGTAGGAGGAGAATGCTGCGGGTCAAATAGGGGCGAAGAGGGGCATCAAATAAT